CCCCCACTTTCTTCCAGTTAAAAATCTCCAGGAATGAAATATACATATGGAAAAGAGAAAAAAATAGGAATACCAGAATCATCTGTCTAAAAGGGTAGGAGAATAGAATATAGCCTAAGGAGAAAAGCAGACTATGCCAAGCAGAATTAGGCAGAAGGTAGAGCGGGGTGGCACCTCGGAGACTAACTGGTTCACAAACTTTTGTGGGCAATGACTTATTTCATTAGATGCTAACAAAGCTGGAAACTTAAGGACTCAAAGATAAGTGGGGACCCGGCTCCAGAAGAAAATGAACACCTGAACTTGGGCAGCTGGAAGGTCGAAGTCAGGAGAGGGAATGGAGGGCTGGTCTGGGTTCTTCTCTGTGTTCCTGAGGGCAGGGCAATCTTTAAATCCTGACTAACTTCTTTCCAAAGCTGTGCTTTCAAGTAACCTTTAGAAGGAAAGCTTCCCAGGCAACAGACAACTTAGAGAACATGAGGATGACAGGGAATTATGGGAAGGAAGAGGTAAGTCGAACAAATCTGTTTACTTTTTTTTCCCACCCTGTAGGACTTGGAAGGAAAGGAGGAATTAGAGCATGAGAGGAGGATGAAGAGTTGCACAGAAAAAAGGAGTTGTATATTCCTTACTTCCAGTTAGAAGTGGGGGGAAAGGAGACGGTTACATTTGAGCAGCAGTTTTTTAGCACCACTGCTATCTAGTACCTGGGGCAATAATGCCAATAGTCCCTTATTGTGTATGTAACATGGAGAAAGACCAACACACTAACTTCCAACACTGGAAATTCTCTTATATATGGCAGAATTCATAACATATGGTGATGTGTTTCTCACTCCTAAGTCCTGTGACCATGATGACGACAATAGGATTTGACCAGCCCAGACTTTTCCCCCTAGATCTAACTGAAGCTCTAGCTCTCCCTGACCTTGGGGGTCATTAAGAGAAGGCTGAATAGGCATCTGGCTGGGGTCATCTGACCCCAGTGCTCTTTCCTGCCCAGGCAGGGGGTCGGATTCGATGATCTGTTGAGGTCCCTTCTGACCCTAGCTTCTATGAATCTATAAGGTATGTTCTGGGCATGTCTATAAAAGACACTGACTGCAAGGTAGCCTGATATTACTGTGCGGTAGCGTCATGTGGTAAAAACTGTCGAGATGCTACTGTGCGGTAGTATTAGGATACTGTGTAGTAGCATCACTTAAGAGGTGTTTGCCGGTGCTACTGCACAGTAATTCCGTTTATTGTGCATTTATTTAGCACTTGCTTTAAAAAAAGACTAAATAAATGCACAGTAACCACTGCACAGTAGCATCTCATGTATACGTGCCCTCTGTAGTTGGAATCCTCTAATTAAATGTCACCTAGGTCAGCGTTTCTCAACCTGTGGCTCGCAGCTGAAAAGTGAGTCGCAAGAACATATGAAAAGGTCATGAACAATCTTTAAGAATGGATCAACAAACTTTTAAAAATGGATTTTCCTTTAAAGGTGAAAAATGTGGGAAACTGGCTTTTCCCTTGCAGGCTGTTAGAGTTCCAGCTTGCAAGGGGCTGCTTAGGGCCTCCCCATGCTCCATACCCCTCTCCTACCCCACACACCCACCCCCTGCCCCACACACTGGAGGGGCTGGGACCTGGGGGTGAGGGGCAGTGAGTCAGAAGTGAGAGGCACTGGGTTGGGACTGGCCAATGTTTATAAATGGGTCCTGGTCCAAAAAAGTTTGAGAACCACTGACTTAGGTAATGGTGGCATCCAAGGCAATCCACTTTGGAATCAACAAAGAATTGCAAACGGGATCATTAAGAGATATGTCAAAGTTTCAGCACTACATATCCATTGACAATAGTGAATTTTTATATAGCAAAAAACAAAGCAATATTTGAAACAATATTTACAGAGGCAAAGGGCAATTTGGCATTAAAGTATTGTATGCTCTGATAATAAAAGAATACCATGTGTATTGTCTGAAAGCTGATTTAGCTCCTTTGCTAGCTCCTATTAGATCTCATCTGTTCCTTTATTTATAGCCAGTTTAGCATATGTAAAACATACAAGGTTTACACTGTGAAGGTGTTTGTAAGGAATCATTATAAATTACCTAGGTCTGGAATGCACATAACAACATTCAGTGCAGGTGCATGCCATGCACTTATACTTTACCCTTGTGGTAGTATTTGTTTAAAAACCAAATTGGATGCTTAGAACATGTGCATAAATTTAATTTTCCATGTTCTGAAAATAAAACACAGTTTGAATCTTAGGATAATATAGCTGAGTTAAAAGCTTTTGCAACAGTTGCAAACACAAACTGATTTGCCATCAAAAGACTGCCAAAAGTATACTGGCACAAAAGATTTAGTGGTTCTTAGCATTAAAGTGACCTGAATGTTTTGGTTGGTTATACCAAAATCACTAGTCCCATCTGCCTCTATATCACAACAGCCTTTTTTTTTGTCTATTGACTTCTTCTTCTTCCTTTACCCCTACTCACGCAGTGAATTTATATAGTGAAATAGATGGACGGAAATAACGATTATGCTATCACACTAATCCTGATTGTTCTATTTCTTTTCATGCTTTCAGGATATATCTTTAATGCATTTCATCCTAATGACAGGTGCTCTGGTCCAGTTCTGGGTGTTAACTACCACACTGTAAAGTATCACACACATGTCTGTCTCCAGTGGTGCTTCTCTCTCCTATGTGAACTAGTGTTGCTTTTCTGGAATAGGCTATAGCTATATGTGCTGCAATGAACTCTAGAACTCTTTTTCTGTGAATTATGGACAAACATATCTGTCCTTTTGGGCACATGGAAGGTCCTGTAGAACTAACAGTATTCAGTTGATATATCCTCCATGTTTCTGGCAAAATAGGTAGGTGACTATTCTTCATGAAAGTGGAACTGGGCCATGAAACCATTACTTCAGTTGGGCCATGGTTGCAACCATCCAGGTAAGCAGGCAGTATGTGGAGACAGGGAGGGATTAAGGATTACATCCAAATAACTGGAACTAAATCTGCAGTGAAGACACTGCCTCTTGGCTGAGAGTATTTTCTAGGCTCTGGCACTTCCTAATTTTTTTCTCCTAGCTTATCCTTTTTGCTCCCATTTTAAGCTTCTGCATTGCCTGCTTTTCACTATGAGAAGAAAAGTGACCTTTGTTTCCCACAGTCTTATGTATTTATCATCCTCTGCCCCAATGAGAAAGCCAAGTTTAATAAAACAAGCCCTTTTCTCTTTTTAAGAGTAAAGATCATTGAGAACTTGAAAATTGGGATTTTGGTCATTTCTTACCAATGTGCATACATTTTTCTCTTAGAACCCTTTTCTCCATCCTGTCTCCATTGTAAAAGGGAATTCCTTTACTTTGACTTCGAGGTATACATATCCCGGAAGGTATACATTTGTGTGAAGCAAAGGTGATGATCTGCTTTCATTTTCTGTATACGGGGTCTTAACATTTGTACAGCACCATGCATTTTGATAAATCAGAACTGAAATGGGTCTGTGGTAGGGGAAAGCAGTGCAAAGCAAAACTCCATCTCAGCTTAGGAGGGTAAGTGCAGATTACTGTAATCAACAGTCCTGGAAGACAGAACGGACAGTTACTCAAATGGATGCGTAGCCAGAATGCTGGGGCAAACAACTAAAGCATCTATGATGATATATGGTGATAATCAAGTGCCAGGACTTTGGTTTAGAAAGATATGTTTACTTGCAGAAATACTCCTTGGATCAGTTGAGAGGGGAAAGAACCTCTTCCCAAATTATAAAGTGTCTTCCTCGCATCAACCTGTTTTCCTTCTGTCGCTTTAGTCTAAAAAGTCGCCCAGTACAATCTAACCTATCCCATTCAAATTAGCACTTAATTTTGCCAGTCATGAATCAGTGACAGCCCACATGATGCATGTGATTTGTGAATCTTTACTTGCGAATGGACTGCCATCAGCAGAAAAGAGTAAATATATATTTTAGTAAACAAATTAAAAGTTTATTTGTAAGATTCCAGAGAGACCTATATGGCTGCATTTGGAGCATCTGTACATGGAGACAGCTGTACATTATTCAAAATGATTATGCCTTGTTACTCTATAATATACAAACAGTACACAAACAAGTATTCTTCAAAGGTGTCAAAAGCTTATGTCCACATTGAAAACAATGTCTTGGGTAAGTCTGACATTGTTTTTTGAATGCTCTAACTAAAATAACCCTTCACTGTTTAAAGTTAAATATGAAATTGTAATGCTTTTTACTTGAAAAATGGCTGTCAGGAAAAGTGACATATTTACTTTCTGATGTCAGAATTCAGCAGCTAGTAAGTGAGATCAAATAATCTGATTTTATTAGGAAAAAACAAGAACAAAAACTTCAGAAAAACTATGAATTAGATTCGCAAAAACACATTAGGCCTGATTCATTTATATTGCTGAAAACATTTAGCTGTTACATAAAAAAACAAAAATCAGACAAGACTGTTTAGCCTTGGTATGACAAGTTGAGCTGCCACTAGATTTACTGATGGAAAAATATCTTGACTGATATAAAACAGTTTTTAAAGCAGCTACTGATTTTTTTTCTTTTTAGATCTCCCTTTTTCTTCCTTTTACAAATAAAGTACAATGCAATGGAGACAATTCCACTCAATAATAGCCACATCCAGGGTTAATTTTTGCCAACATATATTCTGACAGAAGTCTGTTTTTATTTGAATTTCCAACATCATTTCATGATACATCTTTCCTCCTTCAGTCAAACCCATGAAAGGTGAAGGTAAGCAAATCCTCTTACAAAATTTTGGATTGAAAAATACAAAGAAGAAAAGAAAACACCCCATTGCATGCACACACACGCACACAACTACAAACTTTTCAATCGGTTAGAAGCCCATGAAAATGAGGTGGTCTAAAATGTACCAGAGCTTGAAATACCATCCTGGGCATAGCTATGTAGTTACATGCAGAGCTCATGAAGTACCACTTTATTTTTAGGTTTTCTCTATTTTAGGGTGTTGCAATAAAAGTTCACCGTGCAATCATCAAGAGATGTTTTGGGCTAGGTACCAACATGACAGAACAGCATCCTGACATGGGGATAGATTTTCTCCTGCAGCTGTCAGGGAGCGGGACATGGATTACTGATGCTGAGAGCTGGTCAGTGCCTTCATCAGTGACAGCTACAGAAGCCACAACAATGGAAGACTGTCTTCCACCATGCTGTCTTTCTCTCCTTGCCCGCTGTAACTCCCTTAGCCAGCTTTTATGCAGCATAAAATAAAATGCAAGTCATGGACAATACTGACTTTTGAGGCTGACACAAAAAGGCTATAGGGAAAAGGTTTGACCATGCTGTTTAACATAGAAAAAATAGCGAAGTTACTGACCTATCATACATAGGCTAAGGACCACTGTACATGAACTCTTTGTAAACTTTCACCTCTTGTTACAAGTGCTCGTCCCAAGCAGCAAAACTGAAAGAGCATGCTGTAAACAGTTTTTGCTTCCTTAGCAGCTCAGAAGTTTCTCTTCCCTTTAAACCATGTTTGATGTCCCAGCTGACAATCTGTGCAACTGTACCCTGTGCCCAAGTACATATTAATGCTATCTTCAAACTTATATTACAATTAGTTTTATAAAATCCCTTAGATACATACTCCTAAATTAACTTGGCCACTGGCATTTTGAGTCCGTATTTCAAAGGAGAAATGCTAATTTTGCACACACTCTTTGCTTTTGGTAGCCTGGTTACTGGACTGAAAGGGCTCAACCAGAACTGGTCTCAACCTGCAACCTGTCATTATGCACAACCATGTTTCTGTAAACCGAACCAAGTCAAAACAAAATGTTCTGGGGAAACCTCTGTTGAAGAATGTTTTTAAAACCAGTACATAAATTCGGGGAAAAAATTAAAAGAGAAGCTACCGCAGTCTGTAATGATACAGTTGTAAATGCTTGCTTTACACTATTAAATGCACTCATGGGTGTCACCTCTTATAAATCTTTTACAACAAACTTCCTTGTATTGTCACTAGCACCTGTTGTTGTCTATGTTGCTATGAGGAAATTTATCCATTGTTTTTTTTAGCTGATTGTAGCTCCAGTGTAGCTGTTCGACTTCAGACTTGTGTTGTATATGTGTCTCTGCCAGTTCTTGTAGGAGATGTTCATTAGTAGAAACCAAAGTTCTGCAAAAAAGCAATCCAAAGAACTAATTTTGCATATTATTTCAACAGCTTTAATACACTGTTTTTATTTCTTTTCACATTTTCTCTCCAGTACTTTTTTGTCCTTGCCTTATCAAACAAACTATTATAAACCAACCTCTTTGCTTTGAATGAGTAAAAGAAGGCAGATGTCAAAGACAAACAGAAGTATTTTATAACAAATATTACTTACTGGAAAGCTTTTTCCTGTTACCACATTAGTACATTTCAAGTACAAGTGGTCTCCCCACAAAACCACTGTACCTCATTGAACAACATCCTTAGATAGTGTATAAATGATGTTAGACATTAGTTTTTAGCTACTGAAACCACAAGACGGGCTTCTTACAGATGTAAAAAAACAAAAACCCAGTACTTTACTTTAAATATCACACACTCCCACACCAAGCCCAGCACATGCCCAGAAGAGGCATCACGTTAGTTGGACCTGGCTTGCCCAACGTCTGTATAGATCAGGCGCTTCAGCATGTCTTTTTTGGCACTTTTATCTAATAGCTAATTGAAAGCGCCAAAAAGCCCTGCTGAAGTGCCCCGTCTATACAGATGCTGCAGAGCTGGGTCAAATTAATGCGCTGCTTCCTCTGGTAAAGCATGGGGTTTTTTCCCCCCATTCATCTGTCAACAGCCATAGTTATCTGTTGTGTTGATTTTGAGATCCTCATATAATGAATTGCTATCATATGGATGTATTGCATGTATCATGTCATCTTGTTGTTCTTTTGTAGCCCTTCTTCCTTTTAGAGGTATCATGGTACCTTGTAGAGAGGCACAAAAGCAAGGTTTTCACTCTTCCAAACCAAAGCTGGGCTTTTTTTTTCAGATAAATAATCCAATCTACCCTATCCAATCCTGACTGAGGTTTTCGCCCCTAATTTTGGCCCATTGCCAGACTTAGTTAAAAGGAGAATACATATAGCAGTCTTTACTTGAAGTGTTCTGAGTGAGAAATAGCTGTCTCAGGGATTTACTGACACTGATCCTAAGAATTATAAGTCATGCAGAAAAATAAAGTTTGCGATTTGGCAAAAGTTTTTTTCTAGACTTATCACAGTTATCTAAAAATGAGGCACAGATCTCACCTCAAATAGAGTATAAGACTGCAGTTTACTGAAGCACAAAACACAATAAAGAAGTTTAATTTGTCCTTCTTATGTGCAAACAGATAAATAATGATATAAATGATGGAAACACAAATTTCCTTCTATTAGGCTGAATACATTTTAATAAGAACATACAAAACTGTTGAATATACAAAATGTTGCCAAGAAAACTTCTCAGGTGGGCTCTAGGAAAGGTAACAACTCTATATGCGGACTGGAAGAACAGGTTAGGCCCAAATGCAACCTCCTTTCCGATGCTCTGGTTCCTATTTTGCCCTGGAGTCAGTGAAACTTTTTTCTGTTGTCTCTCCAGTAGTTCAGAATGAAAGGAACTTTTGTCTCATGACAGCTTCTTCGCACATCATTGGAGGAAGAAGCAAATACCTTGGCTTCTCTGTTGTAAAACTTCCTATTGTGAAGATGAAATCCTTTCCTGGTAAGTTTGAGACTCGAAAGTTTAGCTTTGACAACTGCTGACTGGTACTGCACTAGCTCTTGGCCACTGACTTTGTTGCACTAGCTCTCACCAATGAGCCTCCCGGAGTCATAATCCATCTGGCATGAATACAGTAGTCAGATATATTGTCTTTAATATTAGCTTGTATGCAAAATGATTCTGAGAGATGGCCTATTTTAGATTGCTGTACTAGAACATTGACATTCCAGCAAACCATCATTACCAGAGACGGGTCAGTTGGCTGGCTAAGAATTTTCAAATCCATTTGAAGGTGCAATGTGGATGGGAGCCAGGGTTTCTAGTTTCATGGGCATGGTGAAGTTGCTTGGCACCATAATAGATGTAGATTGAGGTTAGTCAGTGAGATACTGGTGCCATGTCAGGAGGCAGGAACAGTGCCCAAGCCTGAGACTCATCACACCTAGGAGTAGCCAAGACTGAGGATCTCTGTGCTGGAGTGAAAGTTGACACAAGAACCATTAGACTAGCCTCTGTGCAGAACAGACTGAGGAATGCTTTCAGCATTTACTCCAGGCCTCATCCTTGTCTCTTGCTGTCCGATTCCCCCACCACTTGCCCTTCCTTGCCCCTCCCCTTCCACCTCGAGTTGCAAGTCCACAGCTGAGACCAACTGCAGACTCATCATGATCTGAGAAGACAAGGTTTCAAACTAAGTGCAATGCTCTCTGAAAAGTGTCTCTTTTGGCAGCAGGATTTTAGGACTGCCCTGATATGTGGGCAAGAGGAGCACAGGCCGGGAAGGAGAAACAGCCTATGAGAGGTAAGGCAGGAACCAGTGCATGAAAGCAGAAAGGGGTTGGGATTAGAACTGGGAAGAATTTCAGCTGCTTCATACAGGTTCCTGGGCTGGAAGAGTGGGTGGGACTGAATTCTCTGACCAGCCCCAGTGGATAGGTTAGTGTTCCCTGTGAAGACAAAGAACCTCCAGCACCTAAGGGATCTGATACTTGGATAGGACACAAACCTTCTATCTTGCTGGACTTCAGAGATTACAGGAAACCCTTGCTATTTGTGGGTTTGGCATTCGCGGTTTCAAATATTCGTGATGCGCCGAATATTCCCTGCGCACCGTGAATATTCACCTTTTTACAGCACGAATGCCGAACCCACATCTTAAATACACTTATAGGAAACCCTCGGTAGCTCCATGCTTGCTGCTACCGGGCTCCCGCTGCTGGACTCCCGCCATCGCCAGCGCAGCTGTGCCCCACCTCTGCTGCCAGGTGCATGTGCCATTCATGAACGCAGACAGCGTTCATCAATGCAGTGCCGTATTCGCGGGTTTCGCCATTCACGGGAATCTCCAGAACATATCCCCCATGAATGGCGAGGGTCTCCTGTAATAATAAGGGTTCTGAGGGGCGACACCGAGCAGAGAACACTGGCCAGTGCCCACTGTCCCTGGAATGTAAAAAAGGAACAGGTGGACACTGCAAAGTGAAACTAACTCCAACCCCCCTCTTTACTTCATTCCTGGCTGGCAATCAAGTTACTCAAGCCCCAGTCTTAAATGGTCAGTACCTTAGCTAATGAACTGCAATATAACCTGAGTTGGACATAACAGATTCAGTGGAGTGTATGCCATTAGTATACAAATGAAGATGTACCCCCCTGCACCCCATTAAACTTCCCAGCAGTTTCACAGGTGTGTCAACAGCTTGTTACAATGCACTAACAGAAGCAAAGCAACTCTCACCATTTACTCTGAACTTTATGAGAATGCAGTCATGACAACATGCAGCAGAGGTGAGAGCTGGGTTTAGGGGCATGCTTTGAAGCACTCCTGGGTCTGATTCAAAGCCAACTGAAGTCTGTATTAAGACCTCCATTGACTATAGGGAGCTTTGGAAAGGAGCATTTGTGCAAATAAAAAGCAGTCTACATGTACATCAATGCACTTCAGTTAATGTGCATTAAATCTAGAACCTCCATTGTGAGATACTAGGAAAATGTGCATTAGCCTGTGTTAATAAGCATTAACTAAAAAGCACAGTTTTTAGTGACGCTTAATGCGCATTAGTTTATTTTAATGCCCCATTAACTAAATAACACTGGGCATTTATATACATACCTTTTCATCCTGCAATGTGCCGGAGATCCACCACTTTGGAGCAGACTCAATTAATCAAGTCTGCTCCACATGAAATCTGACATGCACTGTGCTGTGCCATGTGCAGTTGTATAAGCGGCAAAATGCGCATCAGCATGCAGAAAATGGCAGTGCACTTTTGAACTAAAGCACCTTCTATGCATTTTAGTTCAAAAGCACACTGCCATTTGCTCAGTGTTGACATGCATTTTGCTGCTTATACAACTGCAAGCAATGCAGTGCCGGGCGCTTTTCAAAGTGCCCAGTACTGCAATGCTTACATGTATAAAAATACCCACTTTTTTCAGTGCCACGTTAATGTGCATTAAAATAGGTTAGTGTGCATTAAAGTGCATGTGTAGATGTGTGTATGCTGTTCCTGGTGGGTTTCAATGAGGTGTTTCCATTAGAGCCTTTTGGATTTCTGATGCACTGTATGTTACTGGTTCAGCTCAGCCCCAAGGCAATCAGTAATTGAAAGCTATTACCACTAGATGGACAGCCTATTATGCATGGAATTAACTGTTCAGCTCAAGTGACAAGACCTAAAAAAATTCTAATAATACTCAGCACTTGCCTGCTTTTAGAAGACAAGGCAAGTTTAAATGTGCATGGAGACTGATCTTCCTTATGGAAGTTTAAATAGACAGTCATTTGGCTCAAACTTATTTATTCAGTTTATAAATTCAGCCACTTGGTGTCCTGGGAGCTATTATTAAACATTAGCAATGCACCATGGGTGGAAGCTTGCAATACCAGAATCTTAGGGTGCCTGTAGACATGCAAGGAGGCTGCTTTGACATGTTGTAGTTACAGTGAGTCAGAGAAGACTCGATTAATCGAGTGTGCAGGAGCGTGCCAATCAGCATGCTCCAGAAGCCTCTACATCTCATGTATCAGTGTTCCCATACTTCAAAATGATGGAGGGGGTGCTTTTAACTAAAACTCGTTTGACAAGCTTTAGATAAAGCGCTCCCACCAACATTTTGAAGCACGGGGACACTGATACACGAGATGCTGCAGATGTTTTAATTAGAGCGGCTCTGAGAGCCACTTTAATTAAAGCGCTCCCCGCCTCCCCAGCATGTGTAAAAATGCCCTTAATATCTATTCTGCAAGGTAACAGAGTACTTCAGCTTCTATTTCCAAGAACCTGACATAAGCACTCTTATTTGCTAAGGAAAAGAATCAGTGCAAGTCACTGTGCTTTAAAATATTAACACTCAAGCAATGGTAAAATTAAAATATTTATGCTTTTTAAAAATATGTCTATATTCTCTTTTAACACCTCCACCTAGCCTGCAGAAAAAAGCAGTCTCCTCTCCAAAATGGAACAGGGGGTGCCCAAACTGTTGCTTAGCAACCCATTTGCTCAGACATTTCTTTCTCTTGCTTTCATCAGCAGAGCCAGCCTTAATTTCTTCTTTTTAGGTAGTGGCTCTAAGTAAAAGCAATGTTTGGCTTTCTTTTTCCGGGAGGTGTGTATTCAGAGAAATCTGAAAAGCAGCAACGTCATTCCCCTTTACCTCTGTAAATCGCTTCAAGACAGACCATTTGGAAAGTCAGTCCAGGAAGGTACTTCAGTTAGTGGCTGTTACACAGGCCCAAAGTCCTGCTATTCATAGGGGTTGAAATCCTACATTCTCTGGGCCCAATTCAGCCTAATGCTGCAGGGGCTACGCTTCCATTAAAATATTGTGTTATGCTGGTGTTACACTGAGGAAACATGGAAAATTCAGGCCCTGTGTCTCTTTCTTCTTTCCTTCTCAATTTGTACCTGCTTGTTACCTCCCTGGATTGTGCAGCAGAAAAGATGTCACGCAGCTACCGTAAGGATGGTAAGTTATCCAAACTGCAACAGAGTGTGAACACGTTCAGTTTAAAGTTGGGGGAAAAGGGAAGCTAAATCTTGATGCCAGTTTACAGTGCCACAGAAAGGCAGGAGGATGGCTAAAAAGATCTGTTGCTAAGCAATGTCCGGAGTCCCTTTGCCACCTTACAAAGACTGTAGATCAATGGGCAAATGATCAGCTAAAAAAATTCCCATTACTGTTCATTAAAAAACAGAGACATGTAAAGATCTACTATTTATACATTGTAAATCTGATGAGTATTTTCCACTAGTAGTAAGCACTTAACTGAAAAACTGGTAAAATCTGTGACAGCACCTAGCTGAGTGGTCTCTGTTGGCCACTTAGCATCTTGCTTTCAGGAAAACCAGAACCTGCACAGAGTCCAGATTCTTGCTCTGCCTGGGAGTTTTCAGGACATTCACAATTACAGACCTACTATCTAGTACAGGAGTGGACAAAATATGGCCCATGGGCTGAATTCAGCCCACCAACTGATTGGTTCTAGCCCACAGGGGGCCACTTGCCAATTGATTAGATTTGGCACATGGCTGCCTCTGCAGCGCTACGCCTAGGGCCAAATCCCACTGAGGGCAGCCCGTGTCATGCTCCAGGCCACACCCTCCAGCCCAGCCATGGCCAGCGTGCACAACTTCTGGTGGGGCTGCTCTCGGTGTGGCTGCTGCTTGGCTCCCCTTGCCTCCTACAGCAGCTCCTCCTCTTGCTCCTGCTGTGCCACTCCAGGCTGGGAGGAAGCATCAACTGGGCAGCTCCTGCCCCAGCACATGGGGCTCTGGATCCAGCTCCAGGCTGCCTTCTACCCACTCCATCTACCCAATGTGGGCAGTGAGGGAGTGGAAGGCAGCCAGGAACTTCAGCTGGGCAGCTCCTGCCTCAGCATGCAACTCCAGGCTGCCTTCCATCTACTTAGTTAAAATCAAGTGTAGGACTGAAGACTGCCCTTCACTGCAGAGATGGTACAATGGATGAGTTGGTTCATCTGAAGTCAAACTTAAGTTTGTAAAGTGCTTTGGGATCCTCCAGGTTGAAAGATGCCATGTAAGTATATGATGTAATATATTTACAATATATGAATATAGTGTGATATATTATAAGAATTATGAGCATCTCATAAATTTATTTTCCCCTGTTAAGGTAATGCCTTTGGGTCAGCACCCCAGCATCTTAGGGCTGTAAGATGACAACGTGAAGCATTATATTGGACAAAGTGGGAAAAAAGGAGGATCAAGAAACAATATTTTAAGGTTTATATCCTGAGATGGGAAGCCGGATTTATGGAAGATCTCTATTTTACAGATAAAGGCCACAGACAGATACTACATATGTACCATTAAATACACTCTTGTGCCACAGAAGTCAAGGGGACATTCATGCCCCCTGTAGCACAAAAATGAAGCAAATACTACAAAAATGTTCTTCCATGAAACAGGAACTTCTCTGTAACATTGTTTTGTAGCGCAAAATATAGTATCTGTTCACTGTGGGGGAAGGGTTCTGCCTGGACCCTAGGTCCCTGGAGACAGCTGGGGATAAGAGGAAGGAGGAGGGGGCAGGAGGCACATGCAGCAGAGCTTGCCCAGGCTGTGCAGGCTGCAGCTGCCCCTGTATGGGACTGAGCCCTGCCCGGGGAAGCCCATGCTGTGTTCCAGCCCACACCCACTGGTCTGGCCCCAGCCAGTGCACACAGCTTCCACTGGGATTGTTCCTAGTGCAGCTGCTGGTTGGCTCCCCTCAGCTTCCCTTGCCTTCAACCATGGCTCCTCTTTCTGCTCCTGCTGTGCCACTCTGGGCTGGGAGGAAGCTTCAGCCGGGTGGCTCCTTTCCCAGCATGCACGGCTCTGGCTCCAGCTCCTGGCCGCCTTCCCACCCACTCTGCCCACCTGGCACAGGAGGCTGAGTGGGTGGAAGACAGCTGGGTGGCTCCTGCCCCAGTGGGTGAGGCTCTGGCTCCCGGCTGCCTTCTACCCACTTGGCAACTCACACCAGGTGGGTGGAGTGGGTGGAAGGTAGCTAGGAGCTAGAGCCAAGGCCCTGCACACTGAAGGTTCCTCCCAGCCCGGAGTGGCGCAGCAGCAGCAGCAGGAGGAGAACCCACTGCTGGAGGCCAGCGGAACTGAGGGGAGCCAAGCAGTAGCTGCACCAGGAGCAGCCCCGCTGGAAGCTGTGAATGCTGGCCAGGCCTGGCCCAGGAAGAACAGGCTGGATTGCAGTGCAGGCTTCCTCAGGCGGGGCTTGGCCCCATGCAGAGCACCACAGGGGCCACCACAGACCGCACTGCCCAGGGATGCTCTATTGCATGTGCCCCCTGACCCTTCCTCCCTCTCTTCACCCCTGGCCAGCTCCTTGAGCCTACCACCCAGGCAGCAGCACCACCCCCACACACATGCTCACACCTGCTGTACCCGCACCCTCACACACCTCCCACTGGGCAGGGCCTGACCCACGATCCTGGCCTCACCTGTCCTTCTCAATCCTGAACACCACTCCCTGCCTGCCTGCAGCCCCATCCCACATAGGGAGTTTTGGTGAGTTGTTGCAGTGGGGGGTGGTTCTGACCTAACCCTTAACTCATCAAAACTCCCTATAGAGCCCCCAGGCCCACATAATTGTCCACCCCTGATTAGTATCATCTCCTGAAGTTGGCTCAAATGCCCAGGGGCTAGTCTTGATTCCTAAGTTTCCTATGCTGCATACACATACCCTTTCCTAGAATCCCATCAAAGGGATGAGACTTCTGATTTGGAGTTTAACACTTGAAGAACCACATGAAAAATGTAAGCAAATGGACCTAGTTAGGCTTTCCACAGTTTCTGAATCTGCAATTAATTTTTACTTAAAGCATAAGATACAGGAGATACAGATACTTAAAAAACAACTTTCTGGATACAATATCAAACATCTAGCTTGCCCTCTCCCTTGAGGGTAAGAGAGCAGGGTTTGGTTAGTGTCAGGACCCCCAGGATTCAAACCTGGACCTTCTATACACACAGGTGGAAGCTCATGCACAGCACCACCAGAGAGCTAAATGCCTGTTTTTGCCCAGCCTGGGCCTTCTGCTGATGCATAATCCTCTGTATAGTTGAAGAGGGAATGGGGGACCAGTGGCACCTGGGCAGATCAATAGAAGTCATAAACCCTTGATTCAAGGACTACAAAACCCTCCCACTTTCTGCAGAGATTTGTGCCAACAATGGTATTGTTGTGCATGGCTGTCTTGGATGTTCCTGCTTAGGTTTTCCTGGCATCAGTTAATTGCTTCTCCTGACCATGACCTCATCTTGCTCCTTAGCTTGGCGTTCTGAAATGTAGACTGATATCTCACTTTCATATTAGCTTCCACTCCAGTATATCTGTGACTTAGCCTGAGCGACTAGACTGCCTGTCCCCTTTTCACCCCTAATGCTTATCTTCAGGTAGTCAGTTTATGATTTATCTTATCTGACTTTGATTGGTCCTACACCTAAGCCAGCCCCTTCACTTGCTACAAATCTCTTCCCCTTTGTTTTTCTTCTGAGAGGTAAAAATCAACCATCTCTCTCAGTCAAAACCATATCTTGAGCATATCCATTGTTGGCTAAAGCCCTGTCAGTAAAGCATTTTTTATTGTCCTCTAGGCTCATGGATAAGTGACAGGGGCTTTGACAGGATGGTGAATGCATACTGACAGAGCCATTCAAACCACAATCCTTTCCATAGCAACAACTACGTGCTCATTTCACAATATCAACCAGAATTCTTAAGATATACACAAAGATTTCCCAAAAGACCATATCATAAGATAATTAATTTAAACTTTCAATATATGATGAAGAAGAGATCTAGGTTTCTTTCTGGCCAGGACTTACAATTTACCTGTGACTTTCCTGTAACATATCTATGAGCTGCTGAATCTTATCATGCTGTTGTAGACGCTCTTTTAGGATGACATTTTCATTTGTTAATTGTTGATTATGACTTTTCAGTTCTGAAAGAGAGATAATGCATCTTAAAAGGGCCATAATGTAACAATGCGCAGTTAAGCTAAATAGAAATAAGAAATAAATATTGTAAAATAGCAAAGGTGTCAAAGATAAGGCTTGCAGGCTAGATTGCAGTCATGCCATGCAATGCATGGGGCTCCTGGAGTGGCCAGGAATTCAGGGGTGGGTCTGCCACAGAAATCTAAGGTACAGAGTCCTTTTAGGGATGCATTTTGGTGGTGGCAGTATGAGTGATGAGTACATTAGCTCCTGCAACTTCCCTGCTGCCAGAGGTGGGTCCAGATCTGGCATGAGAGGAGCCATACAGTTTGAATCTCGCATGGAGGCCAACTGAGTTTGATATCCCAGCATAGAATAAATGACAGACTAATCATCTTTTGGATAAAACTGAACATTGAGATCTAGACCTTTTATACCAATTAAAGATCCCACAAGAGTCTTCAAAGGCCTCAATAATATCTAATATGACCAATGATAGTTTTTCCATTGATCTCACTTTCTACTCAGTTGCATATATTTTTCTTTTAAATGTACTCCTACACTTTCAGCTGAAAAAGAAACTCTCCTGCTTTAACATTAACCAATTAACTTCCTCTTACAGCAGTGACAGGGCATTGGCAGTGCCTTCATCTCCCTTGCTTTTACCATGGTGTTTGTGTTTCTAGTTTTGTGCCTTCTACTTGTGTGTAAGGGTCTGAAGTGGTAATTTTGGGAAATCCTTGGGTAAACAGTCGCCTGTGAACAAAGGGGACAGGATTCCATCACTGGAAGGTGGCTCCTTCTAGTCCTATGTCTTTATTTTAAAACTTTTGGTTAATACATCTTGGCCTTTTGACTAAGATCAAGTGTAGAAGACTGCCCTTAACTGCAGAGATATGGAACAATGGAGAGTTGGTTCATCTAAGTCAAGCTTGTAAAATTTGTAAAGTGCTTTGGGACCCTCCAGGTTGAAAGATGCCATGTAAGTATACAATGTAATATATTTACAATATATTAATATAGTGTGATATTTTATAAGTATTATGAACATCTCATAAATTTATTTTCCTCAGTTAAAGTAATGTCTTTGGGTCAGCACTCCAGCATCTTAGGGCTCCAAGATGACAAAGTGAAGCATTATATTGGGCAAAGTGGGGAAAAAAGAGGATCAAGAAACAATATTTTGAAGTTTATATCTTGAGATGAGGAACCTGATTTATGGAAGATCCTCTATTTTACAGATAAAGGCCACCCACAGATAATACATTTGTATCATTAAATACACTCTTGTGCCACCGAAGTCAAGAGGACATTCAGTCCCCCTGTAGCACTGCAACAAATGGAGCAAATGCTACAAAAATGTTCCTCCATGAAACAGGAACTTCTCTGTAACACTGTTTTGTAGTAAAAAAGATAATGTCCATTCAGTGCACAACAGTGCTGGAGGGTCTATCCATCTCCCAGTATCCCACAGTATTCCCCTTGTCCCCCAAGTTGAGAAGGAAGGAGAGCAAGTAGACTGATACTGCATGCAGCCTGCATAGGCCCTCCTCTCTCTCCACCACTTTCAAACCCAGGCTGGTAGTGAGTGCAGGATCAGGCCTGGACTGGCCTGCAGCGAGCAGAGCTGTACTCACCTGAGACCGGGGGTTGCAGCTCTGCTCACTGTGGGCAAGCCCAGTCACACTCCCACACTCATTAGAGCTTAGTCTGAGGGGCTGCAGCTGTGTTCATCACACCTTGTGGGTGGTGGCAAGCTGTCAATGAGTGGGCTCACCAACAGGCTCCCCTCCTCTGGTGGATTGTGAGGGGAGCAGAGCCACAGGCCAGAGCAACCTTCTCTTCCTTCCTGGCTGGAGACTACACTGTTGAATGCCTTTGTGGCAACTTCAGACTGGAAGAGGGGGGTTCTGCAAGTCTGTCTGCCTCTCATATAGCTACATTTTTGTAGCACTTCAAAGCACTGGTGTGCCTGTGTTACAAAAATGTATGTCTATCCATGGCCAAATGCAGTCTGGCTGGTCTCAGACTGTAAACTTTTTGTGTTTTTAAGATAATGCCACCTACCAGAATTATACTAAATGGAGTACACTGAAAAGCCTTCTATATTAGCTCTTGTATTGTTTTGAGGAGGGAGATTAAACATATAACTTTCATGTAAGTAATGCTTTTATACTCCTTGGTATTGAAACAAACAAAAGTAAAAGTATCCAGATGCAAAAGCAGGAGAAGCTTTTTGAAAAATACTGAGGTTCAATAAGGCAAAGCCTCATAGTAAAAAAGGACTCGGTTTACCATTTAAAGACCGGAAATGTAAGTAGAAAAAAAAATCTAAGAGGGACAATACACAGCATTTGATTTATTTAAAAATGGTTGGTGGACAGCTCTCATTGGTGACAATAAATGTTTTCTACACTGAAATGAGCATTGGGAAACTTAGTGAACTTCAAGTGATAGAAAATGCATCTCATAACACTACACTGGACAAAACAATGGAAAATATACTGTAGACAACACTCCTGCCTGACCAGGAAGGAGGGGCTAGATGATTTAACAGGGCATCTATACCTGTTATTACTACGATCCTGATGCAGGCAAATACTACTGTCCTAACTCAGTGACAATGCCTTTCTATGCAGAGCTGATGTTTAATGGCATTGTTTATTTAAATATAAACTGCACAATGATTTATGCTGCATCTGCTATCTCTGCAGTTTGAGTTATTTTCTATAAACATTTATCCAAACAAATTCTGACTTTGATGATTACAGAAATAGAAAAGATCACCCATTCTTCTGCATTGAAAGTGTAAGAAAGAAGAGTGAAATTGGGTACTAGGGTACTGTGTCGATGTTGGTATATTCAGTGAGAGTAGAGTTCACATATGCAGAAGTTAGGCATGCTTACTTATCAGTGTATTCACTGAGGGGTATCTTGTTTCCCAGGGTCTGGTAGGGAGCAATGGTCATGTTACCTATTGAGGTGATTCCTACATAACTGCTGTTCTTTACCACAGTATGGTAGACTCTGGGATCTGATTTAGGAGGATGTAAACTGTTGAAACTTGCACATCAAGTCTTATTCTAGAACAGGCACTTGGCATTCCCTATCAGGAGACTCACAAAAAAAGTGCATACATGAAAATTGTGAGTTGGTTGAACTGCTTTTCTTGCCTAGGAATACAGGGACTACATTGTTAGAGTCACTACAGGGAGCCATGTCAGCTAATTAAAAATTCCTAGTATGAGCTGTATCTTAACCTATTAATGGAATTTATTAATAGGTTGCATTCAATGGACGTGAATCCATACTCACAAGTCATTCTATTATTCCGGTTGATACCAAACAATTTTAGGCTGTTTCTGGTATACCAAACCACAACAGACAAGCAAGTGGAATTAACTGTTAAGTTTACTATAGCCTGTTGATGGCCATGGATCAATTCGCTGAGTATGGATGCTATTTGATGTTAGTAAAGGTTTCAAAGTTGGCCTAGAGAATATAAATTAAATGAAAATTATTATCCTGATGGCATTCAGAGGTAAACATCACTTTAGGTTTACCTCTGGGTTTGTCGGTTACTATACAATGTATTTGAAACTCACCTGTAAGCTGTAACTGTAATGAACTAGAAGCATCTGCATTTTTGACATTTTGTTCCATGTTTAACAGACGAGCTTTTAATGTAGCATTCTCCTCCAACAACTGATCTAAACGTTGTTTCAGAATATTCTAATAAGATTTTAAAAAATGCATAAATTAAGCCCCCAGCACACACAAAAACAATTGAAAACTGATGAAAGTTGTCTCTAACAAGATTATGCTTTGACCATCAAAACACAGTATCATTTTTGTATCCTGGAAAACTGGATCAATCATCCCTGAAGATGAAAGATATGTTAATTCTTATTTACTTTGTTTTCTGTAACTTGGTTCAACTGAAAACAAATTATTCCAGGGGGTTGCCTTGAAAATAATACTACAAATGTCCCTGGCAGTACGGTGGGAAGACCCACCAAGTGCCCATGAAGGAATAAGTCAGGGTCCTGACAAATGATGTAATCTTCTTATTCATCTGGGATAAACAGCTGGAAGGTCAAAATCATACAAGGTCCAGAAATCAACGTTCTGCCAATTATTGAATCAAAGGAGTTCTGAACCTGGGCAAGCCCAGAACCATTACTCCTGGATCTTAAATCTCACTTCGTATGGGTAGAGGCCTGTATTCACAGCTCTTACAGTAATTATGAGCCATGGTCTATCTTTACCAAGATGGACTTTTGTGTACATATGCACATGGCTACAATGATTACTACTTTCTACAAGGCTTCAGGCCTCACAGAATTGTGAAGTAAATGTATTCTAGATAAAGCAGTCATCACCAGCTAATATGGCTGGTAACTGTGTATTTTCAGGGCCAAACAGAAGAGACGTAACTTCTTGCCAAATGTAATTATTCTCCAAATGTACATGACCTTATATAGAACTAGATATCTGCACTCCATCTGGCTCAACACTTTGGGAAATGGTGGTTTTATATATATTTATATATATCATATGAGATATTCTTACTTTTAAGAATGCATAGTGATAATAGTTTTGCTTTGACACCAAAAGATCCTTCTGATATTCTTAAAAGTATGATATTACTTAAAAGTAAGAATATCTCATAGATATTTTATGAGAGATTCTTACTTTTAAGTTCTTAGCAAGACATAAACTTACTGAAAATCTGAAAAATTGCTCATGCTCTTTTTTTATAGAATCACAAAATTAAAAGCTGGAAGGATTTTAGCATAGCACTTGGCACTGTTTTATAATGTCTTAATCTCTAAATCCATTCAAATTCAGTTAAGTGCTAGCACTGTTATATCAATGAGAAAATAAAGGAAGGTCTTTATCACATTTAATATCTAGGATATCCTGAGAGAGATACCTAATATGTGTACATATACTGGTGAAAATTTAAAGATCCGTGTGTTTTAAATGACCCATTTCAGTATTTGCTATATTCCCTATATTAAGTATACAGAAGTACAAGAAATTTGGCAGGTATGTAGATCATGTTATCTGCAGCTGTTAAATGCAAAATTAAAAGGTGTTTAAGCATGACAACTGTTAAGTATGCAATGATTTTATAGATTTTCATCCTACGGCATATATTAGAAACAAGAGTATAAAAAGTGGGTTTATCCTTCCAAAAGATAGCCAGTGTATTTTGTAAGACAAAAAGACATAATAAACAATTATTTGAAAATGAGTAACAGCTTAGTCCTGCCAACAATTACAGTTCGTTTGAACAACAGGAACAAGTTGCTGGTATAAGCTGTTTACCTAGTACAAGTCTATATGTCAACAAGCAAAGACAAACTAGTTTGTGTGGATTTGCCAGCAAAAAATTTTTCAATCAGCTATTAGATAAAACCACCAAAAATCCCCGCTGAAGTGCCCAAGTTATACAGATGCGTAAGCCGCGTCAAACTAACGCAATGCCTCTTCTGGCTATGTGCTGTGCTTGACGTAGGGGTGAACTGAGCTGAAAATAAAGCGCCGGGTTTTTTTCCCATGTCTGTAAACATCGTATGTGGTTGTTGTTGCGTATTGAGTGTCTATGATGTGTCTACAAGTGCGCATTTACTGCACAGTAACCGAAATTACTGCACAGTACGGGTGTGCATCTACACATACATGCCCATACTGCACAGTAAATAGGCGACGTACACCAACTTGAGGGTAAATTTGATACCTGCATCATATCAAATTTATCCCTGATTAATTACTATGCAGTAATGCACATGTAGATGCCTTACTGCACAGTAACTGTGTGTATGGAATGACTTGGGACAAGCTTTAGTCCCAAGTCAGTCTATACATAGCATTAATGCACTTAAACGCCTGCACGTGTAGATGTCAGCCTACTCCCGCTTACTGCACAGTAATTTACTGTGCAGTAAATTTAAGCCAGCATAAATGCACGTGTAGACACCCCCTATATGTATGTAAGGTCTATAAGGATCTGTAAGGATCTGAAGGTCTGTAAGGATCTCCAACAGTGTCTTCATGAAAAGCTTTCTGCCCTGCCCACAAATGAAGGCAACATTTGAGGAACTCTGGAAGGGGTTCAAAACCTCCATCCATATGGCCTGTGCTGAATCCATTGGCTATTCCATCTGTCAACAGCAAGACTGATTCAATGAGAGCAAGACCAAGATCTAAACCCTCCTTGACTGGAAGAGAACAGCTTATTCTGCTTGGCAAGATTACAGCAGAAGGAGATACATTAGCTCCTCAAAGCCAAAGCTCAAAGGTGGACCCAGGAAATCAAAAATCAGTAGTGGCAAGATAAAGCCAAAGAGATCCAGCTCCTTGCTGACAAACATGACGTGTAGATTTTTCCAGGCAACAAAAGCCATCTACAGCCCAACTTCCCAGAGTCCTTTCCTTTAATGGCATGCTGGCTGAATACTCCTCAAAGATAGTTAATCTATCCAAGCTAGACAGAAAAAGCACTTTGAGGCACTCCTGAACTGTTTGTGGACTATGATGGATACCACCAAGTCCATATACCAACACCCTAAAAGGGGATGTCTTGCTGATACTCCTATCCTAGAAGTCTGGCATGGGTACTGAACTGAATAGTATATCTGCTGAAATCTACAAGGCTGGTGGCAAGGAACTGGTGCTGAGACTCCACAAATGTATTATTTAAATTTGGAACAACAAAGCAATCTTTAGGAACCTGAGGAATGCCACCATCATAACTATCTGCAAAAAAGGAGATATGTCTGTGTGTGGGAACTATTGAGGTTATCGCCCTCCTTTCCACAGCAGGGAACATCCTTGCCCTTCTATCTCTTGCTGAAAAATTCCTGCCAGAATCTCAGTGTGGTTTCAAACCACCCCATGGGACAACTGACATGATCCCTGCTGCCCACCAAGTCCAAGAAAAGTGTTGGAAACAACATCAGGACCTGTATATGGCCTTCACTGACCTTACCAGGGCCTTTGATTCCATCAACCACAAAGCCTTGTGGAAAGTACTGGCCAGATTTGGATGTCTTGAAAAGTACATCAAGGTCCTGAGGCCTCTCCACAACCAAAGGACTACAACCATTCTTTGTAGCAGATTAGGGACAGATCCATTTGTCTTCTGAACTGGGGTCAAGCAAGGATGTGTCATCACCCCAACTCTGTTCTCCAGTTTTTTGATAGTCATCCTGTTTCTCATTAAGGACCTTCCTTCTGGAATTTTGATACTGAATACCAAATGGATAGAGGACTCTTCCATCTGGGATATTTTTGCTCAAAGTACTCAAAGTAACTAACCTTGACCTTCAGTACACTGCCAGCTGCACCATCCTTGCACACACTAAGGAATACCTCAAGACTGCACTGGATCTTTTTGCAGAACCCTACCAAACTTTGGACTTCTCTCGCAACACCAAGAAGATGAAAGTGCTCTATCAGCCTGTTCCAGGCCATGAATGTGACCTCCTCCCAAAATGATCATCAAAGCACTTCTCCTACGTCGGCAGCTACCTCTCTCAAGAGTAAACATTGGGATGGATATCCAGCACATGATCTGATGCACAAGTGCCTCCTTTGGGAAATTGCTTTGGTGTGTCTTTATTCATTGCAATCTCTGGAAAGACACCAATATCCAGGTCTGCAATGCAGTCTTCATCTCCCACTCACCTCCATAGAAATGAAACACAGGTGACCTACCATTTTCATCTCAAGGGCCTGGAAAGATATCAACAACGATGCTTCTAGAAAATCCTTCACATCAAATGGGAAGACTGCTGCACAAGCACCAACATCCTTGCTCAAGTCAATGTTACCACCATTGAGTCGGTGATCCTCAAGCACCAACTTCACTGGACTGGACATTTGCCTGACTCTTGACTCCCAAACAAGTGCTCTGCTCTTAGCTTAGTTACCGTTTGAGATCTCATAGTGGCCAAAGGAACCACTACAAGAACACACTGAAAGCATACCTCAAGAAAACAGATCCTGACATCAAGAATTGGGAGGAGCTGGCTGACAAGCAACTCCAGTGACGCTGCAGCCTCAACCAAGCAGCAGCCCTTTTCAAGGTAGTCTCATCTTGCCCTCAAAGCAGAGAAGAGAGTGCACAGGAAAGAAAAGGAAAGGAATCCCTCCTACAGCCTACTTTACCTCATGGAAGGATCTGCAATTCTGCGGACACATCTGGGACTCAAGGATTGGACTCTTAAGTAACCTCAAGACCCATCAATGAACCAGGGCAGAGACCATCCTTAACTCAAGGGATTTTAGTCACTGACATATGTTCTGTACTCCATCAGCAGAGGGCATTGCCCAAACTGCATTATCTTGTGTTGCTCTTTGCTGTTTTGCTTCCATGTTAGCCATTAATAATAAAGATGGTTCCCCTATTCTTCCCTGTATGATCTCCCCAGGACAAGAACCCCATGGATACACAACAATTATATTGTTTTAATGTTCTACGTTGAAAGTGTTTTTTCTAGATGGGTTTTGCTTTGGTGGGGAGGGGATTAATGGCTGGCTTGCAGAGGAGATAGGTGTGGTCTGGCTCATTGCACTCTGCTGTCTGGATGGGGCTGGAAGGGCCTTTCTTGGGAACTGTGGCTCTTTCTAGAAGCTGGAGGGATGGGGAGTGGGATATAAACAGAGGGTCCAGAGAGTGCACATGCATGTGTGTGCCTTTGTGAGTGCCTGCCAACATGCAGCCTACTGGAGTGCACTGAAAGCTGCTGGTGTGAAACCCCAGAGAGCAGAGACAAGAGGAAGTCCTCCACATAGGGACTACAGCTGAAAAGGTTGGAGCAATGGAGCAGAGGCAACCTGCTGTGGGGCAGCAGAAAAGCTGAGACCTCTGGGGAGTTTTGCTGTAGACAGTGATGATTCCTGCTTACCAGTGGAACCAGCCTGAGACTGAGAAGTAAGCACGGGCCAGGTGTGACAGTGAAAGGTTTTTGGAGGTAATGGGTGCGTCTACACATGCATTAGCATGCTTATGTTAACGTGCACTAAATCCAATACCTTCAATGTGAAGTACTAGGGAAATGTGTGTTAGTCTGTCTTAATGAGCATTAACTAAACAGCACGGTTTTTAAGTGATGCTTAATGCACATTAGCTTATTTTAATGCTCATTAACTAAATAGCATGTTTTTTAAGTGACGCTTTAATGCACATTAAAGCACACATGTAGACGCACCCAATGTGTCTTTATTTTGTGTTCGGTCTTCCCCAGTTATGTGGTAGTATTTTTCCCTAAGTATTAAAGTTGGGTTTTTATCCCTGAAATTTAGCTGTCCTTTACTCAGGTATCTCACTTCAAGGAAAATTCACACCGTCATGGCCCTGGCCTACTCAGGGTCCCGTCACAAGGATATAAATGTAATGGCAAGCAGATGAGCCCATAGACACTTCAGAATATCGTTAGTTGTAGACCAAGGCCCCTGACTGGACAAGAAATATGTGCTGTTTTGGAAATCCAAAGTTAATCAATCTTGCCTCGTGATACAACATCCAGAAGCAACTTATCACAATACGAAGGAATAGTTTACAAGTCATATTTTTCTTTTTCACTATTCCTCTCTATATTGCAGTTTATTCTTCATTTTCACCTAGCAGCAAGAGTTGTTTATGATACAACTGCTTTCATGAACTGTGGCCTAAGACCATTGTGTATTTGTATACCAATACTCTTGTGAGTAAATAAGGCTTTTGGATAGATATATGCCTACCAAACTGTGTATGATAACAAGCAATTGCCTGGCACAAGTGTGCTCACAACAAAAGATGTGAAGAATCATAGAGAGATTGGATATGAAGAGATCAAATAATAAACCTAGACAAACATAGTGGTAGGTTTCTTCTTCAGAACTTTAATATTCTGGGTGGAATCAATCTGTGGAAAGCCTCAGTGGGAGCAGAGGAACAAGAATAGATTACTAAGTGAAGGGAGACAGAAGACTAGTTAACAGTAAAGAGAAAATGAGCAACATAAGAAAATTCCCATTGGAGAACAGTGCTGGATAAAACTGTCTTATCTTTTAGGTGATTAATTTAAGCAGACTAGCAAATGATGTTATTCTTAATACCTAGACGTTTGAAAGGAATGAGGGATGAGATTGGATAGGAGGAGGTAAGCAGCAGAAGGGCAGTCTAAATATCATAAGGCCTGAACACTATTTAACTAGCCTCAACAGAAAGGTGAGAGGATGTCATCTTAGAGCTTTGATGAAAGCAAGCTTGGAAACAAGTTGGTAACTTAAGACCAGAAGGAATAGATATTTAAGTGAGACAGGAAAAGACTTCTGGTTGTCAGTGTGACATAACTGGCAATGTGTGCAAGTGAGTCTGTGTGTTTTGAGACAGACAGAGACAAAGAATGAGACCAGAGCTCAAAGCCCATGAGATCGGTTTTCAAACTGGATGTAAAAATGAAATGATGAATAGCGTTAAGCAGACATTAACCAAAAGTCAACATTTCTCTTTTTAGGCTTCAGAAGGAAACATGCAGGGAAATCTGTGCAGTGATCACTGGAAAAAGGGATGGAGAAGGTTGTTTTGAGGACAGTGATGCATAACCAATCCACAGCAGCTTTTGAGATTACTGATTCATAAATTCATAGATGTTAGGGTTGGAAGGAACCTCAATAGATCATCGAGTCCGACCCCCTGCATAGGCAGGAAGGAGTGCTGGATCAGGATGACCCCAGCTAGATGCTTATCTAGCCTCCTCTTGAAGACCCCCAGGGTAGGGGAGAGCCCCACCTCCCTTGGGAGCCCGTTCCAGACCTTGGCCACTCTAACTGTGAAGAAGTTCTTCCTAATGTCCAATCTAAATCTGCTCTCTGCTAGCTTGTGGCCATTATTTCTTATAACCCCCAGGGGTGCCTTGGTGAATAAAAACTCACCAATTCCCTTCTGTGCCCCCGTGATGAACTTATAGGCAGCCCCAAGGTCGCCTCTCTTACTTTGCATTTCTCCTTGTTGAACTGCATTCTGTTGTTTTCTGCCCACTTGTCCAACCTGTCCAGGTCTGCTTGCAGCTGTTCCCTGCCCTCCGGCGTGTCCACTTCTCCCCATAGCTTTGTGTCATCCGCAAATTTGGACAGAGTACATTTCACTCCCTTGTCCAAGTTGCTGATGACAAATTGCAGTCTAAAGAGGTTCCACAGAGAGCAAGTTGTACTTTTCATATATCACATTCAAACCCAGATTCGACTGGATTAGTGAGATAGTGATTGCACCAGCTACCTTAGAAAGACTAAAGGCCTCCAACTGCATTCAGGTATGTCCCAGAATCAAACAAGAAGAAAATTAGAAAAAAAGAAAAGTACCATACTCACCCTTTCTCTCTGAGCATTGCTCAGTTCTGATGTCAGACTGCTAATCTTAATGTTGTGCCGTTGCTTTTGCTCTGATAAATTATTTTGCAAAGCCTGTTTATCTAAGAGCAGGTTAGTCATTTCTTGATGCATTGTGGAAGAATCTTTGCGTTGATCTGTAGGTGCAAATTTCTGTATTCCTCCCAAAAGAGGCCTTGCCTGAGCTGTAAGGGAAATACATAGTAGAATATTTAATGTCTTGAGTTGGTGATAACTGTACAGATGAGATCCTGAGTTATTGATTATCAGTGACTTCTATTAGGGGTATGTGAAATGGGCCGTATTCAATTTGGATTCGGCCCAAATCAGGAACAGTGATTCAATTTGTTGATTCGGATCACCGTCCCAATTCAATTCGGCTGAATCCAAATCTGAAGATTCAATGCTGATTCAGAGAATCAGCAATTTGGCTGTAGATACAACTTTAAATGTTTTTTCTATATACCTCAAGGTACCAGGCATGGCTTGTGAACGCTGCGATGCTGGGGCAGATTGAGCGTCCCGCAGGAGCGTCCCCCCCTTCCCCCCCCCCACCCCGTGTGCTTGGCAGGAAACCCAGAAGTGGACCAGAAATACTTCCGGTCCACTTCCAGGTCCACTGGCAAGCACACAGGGGCTCCCCTGGCTCAGTGATCGGCCATGGAGGGGACCCTGGGTGACCCCCAGACCTAGGAGGCACCAGTTGCTGAGCCAGGGGGGCGGCAGAGCACTCCCCAGCAGACCCAGAACTGGACCAGAAGTAACTCTGTCCACTTCTGGGTCTGCTACCAAGCACGCTGGGGACCCCTACGCGCTCCCATGGGATGCTCCATCCGCCCTACCATCTCAGCATTCATGAGCTACCTGGTACCTTGAGGTATACAGAAAAAACATTTAAAGCTGTCTTTATGTCCAAATCATCAAATCGGTCCAGTTCAATTCCGAGAGATTAAAAGGTCTCCTGATTCAATTCCAATTCAGAGATTCAGCCACCGAATCAGGCCAAATCTCCGCCAAATTGAATCAGACTGAAGCTTTGCACAGCCCTAACTTCTATTGTCTTCAATTGCAATAATCTGGAATTTCACTATAGTAATTATTGCAGAATTGGGCCCCATAAGCAAAAATCATTTTCCCCCATACCTGTTGCTATAGGTGTCAGGGTTTTACTTTTGCTTTAGGTGTCATATTTTACTTTTTTTAATTGTCTGGGACCACCACTATCTCTACTTTATCTTTATTCGTCTCAGTTTACCATGTTCAATAAACTCCTAAAAGAAAATCCAACATATATGTGTATATATTTTTATCTAAGTAGGAGCAAAAGATTCCTTGAGGTTGCTGATTATCATACTCAGAAGCCAAGATGTATAACGTAATATTCAAGGTGTGAATTCTACAGTATAAAGTCACAAAACCAGAGAACACACTAAATTTGTTAAAGGAGGAAACCCTAATTGTTTTAGAATCCCAGTACATAGTGATTTTCTATTATGTAAATCCCCGATATATTTCTTTCTTACAGAGAAATTTCTCATTGCAGTGAAGTGATTTACAACCATTCCAGTATCTATCCACTAAGTCCAGAAGACGCTCAATTGGTGTTGCTTCATATGGATGTTTATTGGCTGATGGTTTCTCATGTGTTTCAGGAGATACCTGAAAGGGAAAAAAAGCAAATTATCTCCATGTTAGCCAATAAATCTGCAGTCAATTTCAACCTGGTCCATAATATATTTTATTTTCAAACTGTGACAAGCCACAAAGAGGGACAACATTCAGGTAATTTTGGCCAGAACTTGTATATTTTATTTTTAAAAAGTCTACATATTATAATTATGGCTTTATACCAGCTATGTTTAAAGATATATAATAGCTTTTTTTTCTATAGTGTTCCTGTTTTCATATACATATTTTCTGAAATATTGGCCTTTTGGGCTAAAAGTTCCCAGGCTTAGATGTAGCCTAAATGTTGAGGAAAAAGTCTGAACACAATTTTCCCAGCTATTTTTATGCTATGAAGAGGCAGAGTATTATTAGAGAGGGAGCTAGTATCACTGCCTATTACTAAGATTTACCGACAGCACCCATGGTAATACCCATAGTAATACCCAATGTACTGATAACTTCACTGCTTTTTAACCATTTGAGCTGACATCTTATGTGATGAGAATCTACCTCACGGTGATGAATTCTGGAGAATTTCAGTCAAAAAGATTAAGTCATCTCTGAGAACGAGGCTAGAAATTAATTGTATCCATGCTTAAAAAAAAACACCCTGGTGATCTTTCCTTTAAACAGCTCTAGATACCCTATGCTGTAATACAGGGACCCAAAGGGCTGTTGTGTCAGGAATGTGCCTGTTCCTGTTCCCGTGAAAATCTTCCTCAAATTTAGCCAAATTATAAGATTTGGGGGAATAAAAATAGATCAGTAGAGATATTTATAATGTTATCAATAAAACATTCAACATTCTCTCCTCACTAAATATACTCAAGCCTCTCAGTTGCTTGTGCTGACCAAACTTTGCAATATCAAGTCCACATAGCAAGTTCCCTCAAAGCTCCTAGAACTGGCCAGAATGTATCTGCACTATCTCCATCACTTGGTTTAATTGGCATTGTTGCTTTAAACATGAGACTATCCCTTCTTTTCCTAAAATCCCCTTCTTCATTCAGTGCACATCACCCAACTTCTGCAATAAATGAGGCAGGGGCCATACAGATAATGACCTTCTTCACTGCAGTCATGATGCACATTCATCTATTCTGTGTAATGAATGAGGAATGGATGCTTTCGGGAAAAGAGTTTATTATTGTGTAATAGGAGACTGCAACATAATGCATACACACAAGGTAGCAGACTAAGGGTCGCACAGGCAACTTCACTTTAAGTATTTCCTAACACTTGAGTGGTTGACTCTGCTGCTGTGGTTGTTTTTGTATATGCATGTGCATATGTACACAGGCACACTCTGAGAAAAGATTATATAATCTTCCCTTAGGGTAACTATTGTAACTCAATATTTTTTAACACAGCTATAGCAAAAAACACCCCCACAAGAATATGTAACTTAGCATCAACCGAAAATGTCATAAAACTCATGGACTGTTGTACTTGGATACTGGGGAATTTTTAAAATATGTTCAAGCTAGGAAAGAAAAATTAAGATTTCAGATTAGGTATGTATCAAAAAAATTCAAAATTTCAAAAATGTCAATAAGATTAATGAAGCAGCCCAATTTCCACTTGACATTACTGTAGGTCACCTCTACTTAGTAGAAGGACCTAGTGCCCATATCAGTCAGTGTGCTGCTAGGAGGGGAATTATAATGTTTTTGCATACTAAAAGGTTTTGCACAGCCTACATTTTCAATTTAAAATTTGTATTGTAATGGGGTCCCATTTCCTCATTACTGAAGGGCTGGGATAGTACTGAGTGCATGACCCTTTAAGACTCTAGCCTCACCCACTTCCAGTTCCATTACCTAAGAAGGGAGCTAGGAAACAACAAGGCAATTGCAGTTTGGTCTCCAAAGAAGCTGAAACTCCCGGACAGAGAACACTGGGGGCAGCTTCCCCTGGAGGGCCAGAGGCTGCTCGAGTAAAAGGACCAAGAGACTGGAGAGTTCAGTGGAGGACCAGAGAGAGGATGTACAAGCTGGGTAGCAGAAGACTGAGGATCCACAGAGTGCAATGAGGAAGGCCAGGAGAAAGTTAATGAGAGGTACTAGAATAATGGAGGACATTTTGGGTAGAATATGAAGTCTAAGATTGTTGCAAGACTGGATAGGACAGTAAGAACAAACAGAACATAACTGGCAACTCTTATGATTTCATTTTGCCCAGGGACAGGCAAAATACAGCCCGCAGGCTGGATCCAGCCCACCAAGCCATTGTATCTGGCCCACGGGGCCCCTAAAAATTTTAGAAAATTAATTTTTATCTGCCCCTGGCTGCCTGTCAAAGATGACAGGCAGACAGCGGCAGTAGAACCCAAAGGAAGCCTGTGGCAGGACCCCATGGCTGAGCAGCAAGGCCGGCCTGGCTCCACCCAGCGCCCCCACTCAGTGAGCAGCAGGGGTACAGTGAGTAGCCACAGCGAGCGGTGGCAGCAAAATGACAGGGGCTGCAGCAGCAGTGAGCGGCACGGGCCACAGGGAGCAGCAGCGGCAGGGGAAGTGGTGGGCAAGTGTGTGGGAGGGAAAGCAGGAAAAAGATGGCAGCGGGTGGGCACAGAGCCCATGCAGGTGCCCTGGAACCGACAGGGAGTCGGGGTGGGGGGGTGGGCGGCAGGAGCACGGAGCATGTGCACAGGGTCTGCTGGCTGCATCAGGTGAGGCTGATGTGCAGTCTGAAAGAGCCACGTGCAATGGACCTAGCAGCCCAACCCCGTTTCTCTCTCTCTCTCTCTCCCATCCCACCCACCATACACACACAGACACCCACCCACTCCCCAACCACACCCTGCCACATACACCCCCTTACCACCCACACACAACATACAGTAGGACTGTATTTTGAGGTATTATGCAGTCACCTCTAGGTACACTTTGTAAACACATAAATCAGTACAAAAATATTTTTAAATAAAATTAAAATAAGTTACAGTAGATGTTTTATTTTTATATATATGATTTGGGGTTTTTTTCCAGTTTCAAGATTCCAGCACCCTTCCTCCCAAAAGGAGTACTTTCAGGGCAAGGCATAGGACTTCCAGTGGCAAAGATCAGTGGTTAGGGGTGGGACTTCTGGTCCCAACGTGGTGAGCAGGGGGTGGGGCAACTGGCAAGGAGTGAGGCTACCCATGCGGCCCTCGACAGCTCTCCTAAACTCAGTAAGCGGCCCTCCGCCCACATAATTGGCCGCCCCTAATTTTGCCTTTCCATATATTTGCCACATAAAACAAAACAATCCTATGCTTTTAGGAAGTTAGAAAGGATGTTTAGTTTACTAGAGGCTGCTGAAAGTTCCAACACATTCATGAACGGACTGCAAGGATTTTCTCTTTGTATGGTGTTCAAAAAATGAACTGGTCCAAAGAACAGAATTTTGCATCATTATGTCACAAATATCAGGAGGGCTTGCTCATAGGTCTAGGGTACAACAAGGTACACGGGACCTTGCCTCACACAGTTAATGCATCACTCTCATGAGCCTCCTAATGTTTATTGCATCAATGAGAAAGTGACAATCACACCTGAACTATGGCTCCCATGTGGCAATACCCTGGAATATCAAACCAGATAATGGCTTATTAACAATTGCTGTGAATGTTACAATTCTCCGTCATGGCAGGATAAAAATAGCAAAACAAACTGTTCTTGGTTGGGGAGAGCAATCTTAAAAAATAAACTATTTCAACCACGCAGCTTTAATTCACCTAAGCTCCTAAAAGAAATTACAGACTTCCATTCTATCATTTACCTCTCTTACACACACAGTTTTTCTATGAGGCCTTTTTTCTTGAGGTTCAGGTTCCTGAGAGGGAGGAAATATTCTGTCACTCTCTTCTATTGTTTCCTGTTTTGACAGAGAGGTATTAACACTGGACTGTCCATTACTCTTCTCCAAAGCTGCAGAATAAGTTTGTTTTTGAATCGGTTGGTCTCTTCCATTCTGCACTGTTCCATTGCAATATGATCCAGACACTAATAGTGTATTATAAATCTTCTGAGCTTGTGTATGCATCTTTGAAGAGGAAATTACTGGTTCATCTATTTCCTGTGAGTCTGCAAAAGGAAAAATGCATAGTCACTTAAACAGAATGACCTTGTGCTTTAAAATTGACTTTAAAAAAGCACAATTAAAAAACATGAATATTAATACATTTTATGAAGGACCTGCATTTTTTCTGTTTGAACATTGGTATGGTGTTTAAAAAATTTAACTAATCAGGAAAACAAGTTTGTGACTAGGACAGAAAAATCAAAATGGTTCAGTTTTGAAACAAGACTGTTTCATTCAGGCTATGCATATATTCGAAATTTATAATATCTAATTTATAATTATATAATTATCATATATAATTGATAATTATAATTAAAACCCTGTTAATAAAACCCTATTAAAACTCTATAATGATACCACCTTGGATTAAGATATGTTACTGAGAGAAAAAGAAAAGTATTGTAAAAAGTATGTTATTGAATTAATTTTTAAAAAAAGGAAAACAAAAAACAAAAAACCTTGCCTCTGGTATATAAGACAGAAGTTGTAACTTCAATTAGAAAAACAATAGTCTCTGGCTTATTGCAAACATGACAGCAGCCAGAAGAAGAAACGATTTTTTTAAAGGGTTGTATAATAACCATTGCCTAACAATCTTCATTACTGGCTTACTAGTTCAGGGTCTTTACCACAAATACAATTTCATGAAGATAACATTTAAACATTTTAAAGTACAGACTTTCATGTATACACAGTATTTTCCAGAATCAATGGAGACTGAACTTAAGTTAACCAGATAGGCCATGGCTAGATGAGTGTAGCCGTGCAATATGTGGTGCTACAGACACGTGTGCAGTGCCACATACATTCAGCTGTTCTCCACGCTGCAAAGGAGCAGCAAGGGTTTGCTGGGGTTTTTTGACCCTTGGATACCCAGGGGTCAAAAAAACCTGTGCCAACAAAAAAAGGGGTGAAGTGATGGACACAGGGGCAGCACATGCTATTTGGCAACTGAGGGGAGAATTAATTTTATGAAGTACAATCCTTGTTAAATGGTGAATCTATATATAGCACTAACTGGAAAAATCCACTAGATGGTGCCATAGCCATGGACCACACAGACTAAAATTCCTCCAGAAAGTGTTGATGCTGCACAGAGCATCTACACTGCATTTGAGACTATGTCTTCACTGAAAAGTTTTTATACTAAGATTGTTGTCTTCGTGAAAAGCCTAGGGGAGACAGAGCACAACTTAGAGCTTATCTCAGTGTAACTAGTCAAAATCTACATTGTACTTGCCCACAGGCTGCTTCTATGGTGAAATTTCCTTTTGCTTTGTTTAAGGGGTGTTAAACTTACATCTATTCGCTGAGCTAAAGGGCTCACAGAGGGGCCAGTAAGGCCTGCTGCTGAAATCCATAGTATGAAGCCCCACTGGCAATGTGTGTCAATGGTGGGGGCTAAATATGGCTACGTTAACCCCCACAGCCGCTGCTTGCCTCACTACCACATCCAGCTTGCAAGGACCTCATGGTCTAAATCCAGCCTTGGGGACAGGATGAATTTGACACCCCTTGTCTATCTAAGTGCTGTTTCCAGAAAAGAGACTCTCATTGTTAATATCCCAGGTCTCCAATTTATCAAAAACCCTCTGAATTTTAATTGTACCTGTCAAAATGCAGGCTACCCCTCCTGTTTTTAAATCACCTGCAAATTTGATCAGTAAACTTTCTCCTTGCATCTAAGTAGGAGAGTTCTGAACCCTTCACAGGACCCTGTGAACATGTTTGAGAATTCCTGCCATGCTAACTTTGATCCATTAACTAACTGACTTTACCTACAATTATTCAACCAATTGTCTATCTACTTGATGGCAATTTTATCTAGTCCACATTTCTCCATCTTATTTAGCGGACAGGCATAAGAGGCTGTGCCAAAAACATCTATAATAAAGTGTATATATATTTGTTCACCTCATTCTCTTCCTCAGCTGCACTCCTTACCTTTCAGGAAGGAAATCAATCTGGTTTGGTTTGACTTGTTTTTAATAAATCCATGTTGTATGCTTGTGGTCATCCCTACTCTTTCTAAATATTTGTAAACTTATTGTTTTGTAATGATGTCTTGTGCGTTCCCAAGTGTTGAAGTTAGGTTGACTGATCTGTGATTCCAGGGGTCCATCTTTTTTCCCTTTTTAAAAAGGACACTTCCCTTCTTTCATCCTCTGGGACCTTACCTGTCATCCATGCATTCATGAATATTACTGCCAGTGGCAGAGATTGTTTCTGCCTGTTCCAATATCCAATACAGCCCCTAGTCTAAGATGGAGGGCTCTAAAAAAGTAGTTTAACTTATGATAGCTGCTGCATGACTACCTATGAGTTGTCCTGTAGCCCAGAACAGCTGAATGAAAAGTCATGGTTCTTCCCCCTCCTGCCCTGTGCTGCAAGGTTGGGAGAGGTCATGGGGCCACAAACACTAGTCCCATGTTGTTTCTGTGCAAGGGAGCCTTGTAGTTCCAATTATGACCTCTGCATGCCATTAGGCAAAGGTACAGGGGGAAGATGCAATGGTCCATCAACCACTTGGTCAATAAAAATGCGCACAAGATGCATATTTAAGTTGATTTTTAAGAGTTCACAGACTGAGTCAGAGTAATTGTATGTGACTTTGAAGAAAACTGTGAAATTCATTGCATTCTTTAGTTTGATTTTCATTTTACTAAAGATTAAAAGTCCTTATAGAACAACAACAAAAGTAGTAGTAGAACTGCTATAGCAATATACATACTGCTATAACCAGACATTTCCATATAAATATGCATACAAGTTTTGCACTGTTGAGGTTAACTGAACAAGAATGGTGGTTACCTGGATGGGGCGTGAAGTTAGCACAGGCTCTGATTTTCCTGTAAGCTTCAGCCTCATCCAGAAATTTCAGATTAGGGTCTCCCTTGGGAGGATCTTGAGTCTTGTTTTCTGAAAACGTTACTTTGCTATTTTTCCTTTTCTCAAAGCCCTGCTTAATGATATTTTGTTCAACTGCTGGAGTTGGTAAACAGTAAGGTAAACTTCTATACTCTAGCACAAAAAGAGATGTTTTAGAAACATTTTATTTCCTTAAATTACAACATAGGAAGCAATGTGTGTGTGTGTGTGTGTGTGTGTGCGTGCGCGTGCATGCGTGCATCCTGAAAGATGTAAGAAAAAAAATCATTGCTAAAGGGTCACCAAAGCAATTTTCATTTAAAAAGTGTAGTAAATTTAATATCTGGTGGTGGAAGAAAGAGGATGAGCTAAAATTAATGAAAATTGTTAGTGCTTATTCAAGAAACAGGGTGTTTATTGCTTCTCTAGCTTTTCCATACTTCTGAAAGGCAAGGGATGCTGAATCACTGCATAAGTCATGGACATGAAATGTTTTCAAATTACAGAACTAACAATGAGTAACTTAATTTTTTGTGATAAGTGTCAATTACTAGCATGAAATCAATAAATCAAAAGCTAGAATCAATTATTTTATCTTAATGCTGGGTGAAACCCTTACCCTTGATTTGTCAATAAGCTTACTGTACAGTAAAATTAATAGTATTACACAAGTAGTCCTTTTAAATTTGACTAGCCTATTATTGACAAATGAGGTTACAAACTACTTAACCTTTGTGTGGTTAGGGCACAGAAAATTGTTTTGTTGAAAATTGCACAGAAAATTGTTTGTATAATTTAAACATATACAACAAACATAAAGCACAAAGTGAACACAAAACATAATTGTTACCTTCATCAGCATCCTGAACTTTTGACATCTTTCTGTTCTCGGAACTAACATCCTAGATTTAAACATATTCATGCATAGTAAGTAGAAAGCATATAGTCATCAAAAACTGTACAAGAAATGTGATGGGTATGTGTTGAAACAGGGTTTACAAGATTTGTTTTCCTTCATTAAATCAAATTAAATTGTTCTGTTTCAGCACCTGCTAATGCTAAGTTTGCAGGGCTCAAGAGTTTCTAGATAAAGTAAAAGTCACTGAAAGGAGAGCTGGTTGACTTTTTCTACAGAAAAGAAAAAAAGCTTAACCTTTGAAAATAATTTCTTCTTTATCATAAGCATCCTATATAGATTTCTCTATCTTTTCTGCTGTTTGAGGAATATCCATAGGATTGAGGATTCAGGACAGTTTGGTAATGGTGATACCTATTGAAAAATATTCTGCTTTTAAGTGTCAAGATATTTGTATTTTTGAATTCTACCCATGTTCTGTTAGTGGTTTAAGATCCAGAGCAGTTTTTAAGATAAATTTATTTTCAAAAGTTTCTAGCCCACTTTCAAAGCAAACTCTATCACCATTTGGATCCCAAATACCAAAGACTTAAAGCTTCTGTACTTGGGGAGCTGACTGCACAGTAACCTAGGATGTGAATTTACAGTGCACTAAATACTTTGCATTAATTCCCTGTGCAGGCACTCCTACTGAGTGCTTAATGGGTGTTTAACACAAAGCAATAAACTCAAGGACATATTGTGCTGGAGTTTATTGTTCCCGGGTGCTGCATTTATATGTGCACTTGGGACTGCAGCACACTGAGCCGGGTTGGAGCAGCTCTGGCTGGCAGAGGGCCTGGGGGTCAGCCTGCCAGCCTGGGACTGCTCTGACCTGGCTCAATGTGCTGCGGCAGGGCTGGCTGGGACATGAGGGTGCTTCACTGTGGGGCTAGCTAGCAAGCAGCCCCCACACTGAAGCACCCTTGTGCCCCAGCCAGCCCTGTCAGCATGTATGCTGCTGTAGAGTAAAAAATGTCCCTTCAGGATACTACTTGTATTTAAAAGTACTAACCTATGGCGGTGTTTATTAGTTTATTGCGACCTAATAGGGACAAAAATGTAAACACAAAAGCTTTACTGCGGGGCTAACTAGTCAGCTCTGAAGTAAACGTCCCATATAGTTGCGCTCAGTGAAAAGCAGTATACTGTACTTTCACATTCAAGATGTGTATAACATAGTTGGAGATGCTTACTGCACAAGTCATGTCTCCATGCAGCCCAGCAATATGGCAGGTCTTTAACTTCCTGGCCTTAACTGTACATCATGCTAAAAAAAGACATGTAAATCTATTTGACATATTGTACTTGGAAACATTTACTGTATTTATCTGAATCCAAGACAACTTTAAATTTAAGACGGTGCCCCAAAAGACTCTATATGTGGAAAATTTATAAATTTGTTATAATTTTCAGGTATAAAATCGAATTATTGGAGGGTAGTCTAAAATTTGTCCCTCCACAGCTATAGCGAGGAAAGCAGCAGCAGGGGGTCACAAGGCTGAGGAATCCAGGTAACTCCTTGCCCTCTGCCCCCCCACTTATTCCTCCTGCAGCTTACCTGCACCCCCAACCCGTGCCCCACAGCCTCTGCCCTAGCACCTTCTCCCCACAGCCCCTGCCCCTCTCTTCCCCACTGTCCCCTTCCCCACCTGTGCCCCATAGCCTCTGCTCCCTTCCCCTCTACTCCCTACAAGCTGTGTTCCTTTTCCCCTCTCCTACCATCAGACACAACTCCAGCTCTATTTCCTTCTGGGGCACAAAGTATATGGAGGTGCAGGCTGGAGCTGCACCAGTGCTGATTGGGCAGGCAGGAGACAGAGCCTTTAAGTGCTTTTTGCCTGGAAGGGACTGAGCCAGAGCCACACCTGACACTGAGGGAGGGAAGGGGGGAGACACTGTGTGGGACAGGCAGCGGGGGGCAGCAGGCAGCTCCTGGGGCTTTGACTCCAGCTCCGACCAAGACTCAGGCCTGGAGTCAGAGCCATAGCAAACACCTTCCTCCTCCTCTGCCTTGTACTGGAATCCAAGATAAGATTTTTTCTCCATGCTCAATGGGGAAAAGATACCTCATCTTGGATTCAAGTAATATGGTACTTGTTGGAAGTGGTTGGTTGGCACCCCCACCTACATTTTTTCACTCCCCCTCCACTTCATGAGAGATGGAAAGAGAGCTTCTAAAATGATACAGACAACAGCCAGTTCTACAGGCAGAGACGGGTACTCATCTTACGTGTCACTTTTTACTAAATATTTCACTGTTCCAATGCAGTGAAATGTTCTGAATATTTATTTGTTGACCCTAAAATGATGCAAAATTTCAGGGGGTTACTGAAAAAGTAATTCCACTTTCATAGGCTCTGGTTTCTTCTCTGAGGTGTTCAAGGTAGGGGGCTAATCTTTCATGGTGCTAGTGCAGAGAATGTGTTTGAGTCTCTGAAAGAGGGCGCTCTCTCTCTGGTCATCTGCAGTCCTTGTACACACTTTGCTTGGGGCAACTGATTGATGGGAACCTTGGGAAGTGGCATAAATATTCTTTTACCCGTCTCTCTGCCTATTTATAAAATTGTGTCACTTATTTTAGGGAAGCTGCAGAGGAGCTAGGGGAACCAGGAAAACTTTGGGTTTGGCTGTTACTTTCTCATACATATTTAATGTGTGTGTATATATAATGTATTAAATATTGATGCCTTGTATGAGAAAAATCCCAGTTTGGATGACTTCCATTTGGCTTGATAATCAGCCTCACAGGACTGCACTTGTTTCTTTAGTACAGGTTGTTGATTATTTTTGCCTAATAACAGGAGAAGCAGACATGCTGGGATTTCAGCAAGTGACTATCATCTCAGAAACAACATGTTTTATGGCACAGCACATCTGTAACCATTGGCTCTTTTCTGGTTCTCTTTATTTCCTCCATTCACTCGCTCCGTTTTTCAGTACAATAAATCTTTGATTCTTTGAGCAGATCTGGTGGTGTCAGTGACTTGCTATAACCATTTTTAAATTATTTAGAGAGAAGGTTCAGGCTGGACATCAGGAGACATTACTTTACAGTTAGGGCTGCCAGGCTCTGGAATGGGCTCCCAAGTGAGGTGGTACTCTCTCCTACCTTGGGGGTCTTCAAGAGGAGGGTGGACAGATATTTGGCTGGGGTGATATGACCCCAGCACCTGTTCCTGCCCGGGGCAGGGGGTCGGACCTGATGATCTGTTTAGGTCCCTTCTGACCCTAAGTACTATGGTACTATGATTTAGGTACATTCATATCTTACTTTTTTCTCCAACTTCTCTTTTGAGAATTAGTATGAGTCTCTTACTGTCTTTAAGTACAATTTTCCCCCTATAATTCCAGGACTGTCCCTCCTAACCTTCACTGCTTTAAATAATAACTACCTCACAAAAAAAACTTAGATGTGACTTTGAGGTTAAGAAACTTGGGTATTTCTAACCTGAAAAATGAAGGCCTGACTGCAGTATGGATGCGCTTTAATCTAAAGCCTATATCAGCCACTGGAGTACATAAACTTTTGGGGGGCTTGAGCTACTTACTCAGATTACTGGCCCACACTCCATAGGTCTACTGAAACTGGAATCTCTGCTAGCCAAATTAATGCTAGGAAGGGAAAACCTCTCTGTGCTACAAACACACATTAATTTTGCTGGAAATATAAAAAACCTGGTTTCTGTCAGCCCATGAAAGGGCCGCAGAGAGCCCTCTGAAAACACCCAGCCTCCAGACCTGTCTCATTTAAATCTGATATCGGTCATCTTAGGGATACTGCTTGTTTAAAAAATGTAAGGCAAAAACAAAAGGTTGTGGTATTCAATGATCCAAATAATAATGGGTTTTGGCAATACTCAGCACCTTGAATAGTACACAGTTGCTACCACTAGCAACTGGGAGTCAGTAATGTCTCTAGAAGTACAGAAGTAATATGGTTCTTGTGCTGAACCTGGAATATAGCCTGCACTAGTCTCTTTCCCCACGCAGTAATATGTATTTAGAAGAAATGGCTATGCCAAAGTTGAAGTGCTTTTGGTTTAAAAAGAACAGTTATTCTCCATGAACGGAAGCTAGGCTTTAGAACTTGCTCTCCTCTTGACCCAGAAGAGTGTGGAGCTGTTGACCTTTAAGCTTACTAGAAAGAAGCCTAAGTGGGAACATTAGATCTGTTTGTATTGATTTTATTTTTTAAGAGTTGTCAAAGGCACTAATGATAAGAAATTTTAAAATGATTATAGGAGCTGTGGCTCCAAGCATTAACAATTATACTGCCTGCATTTTGGCAGCTATCAGTTGAGTGCTAACTTGGCATCAAAACCAACCTGCACACTGATAATTGAATGAATTAATGGTTTATTGCTTTGGTTTTTCATTTGCATCCGCCCAGTACTGCCAAAGATTTTTTTTATCTGTCAAGCACTGAACTAGCCAAGCAGTAAAAACAGAGCTCCATTCTGCACTTTGTTTTACTCTCTCTAAAATTAACTGGTCCAGAATGCAAAGGGAGTGTCAAAATTTCCAATTTTGCTACCACTGACGCAGCTCTATGGGTGGCAGCATTATTAGGCATGTTAGATTAACTATCTCACCATGTACAGAGCAGGTCTTAATGAGATCACAATTAAAACAGTGGCAGCTACCAGAATTGTGTCATCAGCACAAGAGTCACCAATCCTGTTTCTGCCAAGGGAGCTAAACTGAAGGTAGCAACAGGAATACATTTTACTATCTGGTAAAGACAAGGACAAAGTAATAAGCAAAGAGAGATAACGGAGGTGAAGACAGGGGTAGACTGATAACATGGATCAAGATTCTTACACCAGTACAACATATCTTGCTTGGAACCTCAGAAGCACACCAGGTCACAATACAAGCCAATATTATCAACTGCACTAAGGCAAATATAGCAGGCAAGGACTAGGTTCAGACATTCAAGAGCATGTCCCTTATACCCAAAGGATACACACACACATAAGATTGCACCTAAGTATTTATGGTGTTTTTGCCTGAAACCTCTATAGTAGTATCTGTATGCCAGACAATACTGGAAGGCAATGCAACATGTTGTAGTAACCTTTTTTACCACAGGCATATTTGCTTGTTGTTGCTTCCATGTTTGTAGGCTGGTGGGTCTAACATCAGGCTTCTGATTTTTGATAAGGTCCTTATCAATTTCACGGATGCCTTAGGAAATAATAGATTTCATTAAAATGTTAGGATTTTTATAAAAAGGTTACACTACAGTTTAACAGCACTGCACTATAATAGCTATACACATTGTTCTAAAATTTTATAGCAGTTTATCTTCACTTTCACTGCAGTCTGTACCTGACTGGCTTTTACATATTTCAGTGTTTTGAAGATATTTTATAAAAATACTGAAAGGATTCAATTCATGTAGTATTTCAAAAACACAATTACCAAAAACATTTTTTCCCCATCTTTGACATGGAACTGTCTGTAGAGGTCAGCAGTGTGCAAGGAATTCCTTGACAGCACTTCAATTCATACAAGGAATTGGAGGAAAGGTAGTGAAAATGGAAAGAGAGGAGTCAGTATACAGTACACCTGGATTTTTGAAGTTCTACTAGTCTGAGAAATCAAACCTCCTGGTACTTCCACAGGGGTCACATCCACCATATTCACACTGAAAGAAAAATGCAAAGCCAGTAATAGCTACTTTGGACAGTAGCTATCCAACATAGGAACAGCTCAAGTTGAAAGTGAAAGGGCCTGGAGTTCTTAGGGTTCCAACAGGGATTTCTGGAAAAAGATATCATTTTCTCTCACATGTAGAATGCTCACACATAAAATATGCTCCTTGTTTTTTGGGGAGGCAGAATAAAGAGAAAAAAGATTTTTCCCTGCTGCACAGAACAGGGTCAGAGCCTAATCTTCAGCTGACTTACTCTCTTTTTCCTGCTTAACTAAAAGCTGAAACCCTAGCTGCTATTGAAGATTGGTTTCCATGGGTGGATCTATGATCTTTGAAAAGAGCTAAGTTTTTAGGGCTGTGAAATAGGAGATGAGACAGGGAACAGCTAGCAGATAGCAACATTTCCCTAAGAAGGGCTAACTTAGTTAGTGGAACAGCAAGACTATTAAAAAGGAGAGACAATTGTTAACACCTGTGGAGTGAAGAACAATAAACCATGCATCTTTTCTGGGCAGAAAATCAGCTTTCCTGCTTAAGACAGGCACCCCAATTTTGGGGGGCTGATTTTTTGGGAACAGGTATGTGTGGTATGGGAGTAAACAAAATTAATATTCCATGAAGAAAAAATATTACAAAGGGCCTTTACAAAGTATTTAGTCTATGATTTTTAGACTGAGTATTCTGCAAATTTTCTACTGGAGATGTGTCAGGAGATAGCAGAAGTTTTATTAATTTTTAAAGTAGTCTTCATTCAAATGTGGAATACCAATAGCATGCCAATCTGGTTTAGACATGTGTGTTGCTTCCATGTAAGCAAAGTAGGTGGAGTGTATTAAATTCTAATCCGATGTATTTTGAAAATATTGGAAAAGACATACAGAAGTTAGGGCCTTTAAATATTGAAAAACATCCTGTTCAACTACTCAGTAAATATGAACATTTTTATGGGGGAGGAGGAACTGCAAAAGTAAATCAACATACTTTGTAAAGTGTGAAATTCAACTTCAGGGTCCTTCTTAGCAGATCCTGTTATTCCAGGAGGTTTACTCAAGTCCCATTCACACTTTGCAATTAAGTTTAGTACCGCTTCATCTTCTTCATCCAGCACTGAACACTTTTTTGACATGGAATTAATGTACTGTACCCTTGCTGGGCCAGGTCTGTTAAAGAAAAAGATGCTGTCAAACTTCTTCACTTTACTTTGGTGCTTTGGCATTTAGCACTACTTCTTATTATGTAATGGACCAGTCAAGTTTCTTTACTAGGTTAAAAAAAACCCTCATACAAGGTACTGGATTATAGGAAACACCTTCTTGTGAGTCACGTACTAGACTGGAACTCAGAAGACCAAGTTTCAATTCCTAGTTCTACCCAAGATTTCCTATATAAGCTTAGGCAAATTGGTTGATCGCTTTGCCCCAGCTTTCTATCTACAAAATGAGGATTATGCTACTTTACTATTACTTTTTGCCAGAATTCTCTTTCAGAACCCACCTTCAATTCCACTAACCCATACTATAATAGTAGTTTTTACTGAAGGAAGAAAGCGCATTAAAGCAAGAGTCGGGTACCTATGACCCACAGACCAGATTTGCCCTGGATTCTTGCCTGGTTCTAGATCCAAATCCTTATGTTCATTTGTTCATACCTTTCCATTTCATTCCCTCTTGCTGCCGGTGAAGAATTTTTTAGCTCAAATGCATGATCTGTAGCAAAATGCAACAATGATGCTTTTCGTTCTCTGTCTCTCACTGGCCGGTCATCTAGAAAAATAATCCCCACAAAACAGAATCTGTTTCACTAATGTTCTCATTAGGGCATATAACTGAAGGAATTGGAACAGCTCTGCAGAACTTCTAAAGTATTAAGTTAAAAACCAGCTTTAAGTGATGCACAGAAAAGGCAGGAATTTTACTGTATCAGATTAAGGATTAAGGTAAAAAAAGACAAAGGTTAAATTCTTATTTTTGTGAATACCAACACTAGCAAAAACAAGTGCCTGAACTTAGACTAATATTTTTAGAACAGAACTGTCCAATTGGTGGTCCATGGGCTGTGTGTTGCCTGAGAGGGATTAAGTTGCAGTCCCTGGGCCCAACTGCCACTTTCCCATTTGATCCAGCTGCAACAGTGGCCAGAGTCTCCAGGCTGCCCCTTCCTCCTCTGGCTTCTGCTTCCTGCCTGCACCTCAGGAATTGAGGCACAGTGCAGAGTGGTTTGGCACACTGAAGGTAAACCTGGGGGTGTGGGGCAGTAGTAAGTAGAAGAGGTGGGTGTAGTGCCAACTATGGGGGCATCTGCCAAGGCTCACAGTACTAGTCAGGCTTACCCATGAGGGAGCATAGTGCAGTAGTCAGAGGGGCATCCACGTGGGTGCACACTGCAGCAGTGGGGGGCATTTGTGGTGTAGTGGTGGCTTAGAAGTGAGGCCTACCATGGTATAGTGATGAGGCCTACCAGCCATTTGGTTGCTGGTGGCTTAGAAATTAGACGACCCTTTTCTTAGATGATACTGCACCACCATCGTTGTAGGGTGGGGAAAATATATTTTGGTGTCTTTTTTATTTAATTTGGACTGAAGAGGGAAGTACTATTTCTAGATTTTTGGGAAACATTTACCTTCATCCGAATCCTACTACAACAGAATAGCATGATTCTCTTAGTCCTGACAGTAATTTTTGGAAGGCTATAGAGAGCAGCAGGTCAGCAATTGTTGATTTACCTGGGCAGGTCTTTGTTTTTTGGACCTACCCAGGATATAAGGCAGCCAGGAAATGACGCTTGGGAATAGCCAAGTCTAGAAAAAAGGTTTTCCGCTGTGGTTTACATCATGGAAATTTGGAATTACCTCTTTGTTAATAAAATCAGAGCCCAAGAAAAGTGACTTTCTGGTAAAATCCCACTGCCATTAAATTCAAGGGCAAAAATTCTACAGACTCCAGAGGGGCCAGGATTTCTCCCTTGAGCTTTAAAATGTACTTTATACTTGAAAGCAGATGATGATTCTACTCACACAGACATAAGAGAGTAAATTGCCTGCTATGAAAATCTGCTTTGAAGTCTGCTCAGAAAGGAAAACTGCATCTATAAAACTAATGCATGGATAAAATTTGGGTAATTAACTAGTCAACAAATAAAAGCGACAACTAGCAGCAATAAAAGGGAGGGACAGACTAGCATGTACTTTTTTTCTTCTTCCAAGAAACCTTTTGTTGGAGTAATTTAGTTGGACATCCTCAGTGTTCCCCTTCTTAGGATCCTCATATCTTTACTTTGGTGAAAGCAGTGTATTGGTAGAATAAGACAGGCAAACTTCTGTTGAAAATAGTTCATTGTTCTTAATTTAGCAAGGGGAAAAGAATCATTGCAATTTTTTTTAAGTAGTTAGCTCTGTGAGCCTATCCAACAATTATACCCAAAAGAGAAACTGGCACAGTTTCCTAAATAGGGCAGGACATGTATTTCTTCTCTAAGTACCCACTAGTCACACCGGTTCAGCTGTTGGCACAGGCTTGTTATCAAGAAGCTTGAAATCCAAATAAATGCAAGAAGAAAGGAAATGATTAAGATTTCGTATCGAAGCATTTACGTATACACTTAATTTGTAAGCTAGTTCTGTGCATATCTGTGCATCTAATAAATCAAAGTATAGATTCATAAAAATGCAAGTGTAAATACAGAACAAAACATTTCAGCGTGTTTACTCAGAACTCTTGCTGAAAACATCTTTACTCGAAGAAATCATTTGGCACTTTCAACACACGGATAATAAAATAGGGAGGCAATCTCTATAGCCCTTAGACTTGGCCTTGTTCTACTACCACTATAGTCAATAGTAAGAACTCCATTGACTCCAGTCGGATTACTGTTATGCCAATACAGAGTATATCTCAAAATCACACTAAAAGTCTGTAAAACTATTTGATACTCATAGGTCATTTATAATTTGATTTTTGAATGATCTGTTATTATTAAATAACATCCCATACATCTATGATAATGGACTTTTAAGCACGTTGTCTTCACATTTCCCATTACCTTTTGTGTGTCTGCAACAGCTAGCGTACCTGTTGATCATTGGCACTAGCTGTGACATGCTTCCTAGCACGCACTTTGCCATTCATGTATATATTTTTAAAACAAAAAGTTATTTTCATAGAAAATGTCTAACACTTCTATGTAAAAACAAAATATTTTGAGTAATACGTTGTTCTGTTTTCTACATACCTAATTGCCTCAAGTTAGGCAGCATGTGCACAACAAAAAGACGATAATCTGATTCATTTTTAACAACAGGGTTCAATCGAAGGTCCACTTCCTTGAGTGTAGTTAAGCTATGAAGTCGGAATACTTCTGAAAGTGATGTGATTTGATTGTAGTAGAGATTAAGCTTTTCTAAAAATGTTAGGTATTGAATCCCCTGTTAACAGATACAAAATAGAAACCAAATAAGGTTGCACTTTGTTTTCATGGTGAAATGCCTGTGGTCCCTGAGGGAAATCCAAACCAGGTGGCCCAAGGCTGAAAGCTGTTACCACTTGACTCAGTAGCTATTCAGTGGTTTCTCTAAAATGACTTGCTGGTCTCAATCCAAGATCCAGTGCACATATTCACAATTTTAAAAGACTTCCCAAACACATGCAAATTATAAGTGATATTATCAATTTTTCCTTTGAACTCTACCAGACACTTACAACCCTTTTCTGCAGGAAAATCATTTATCTCAGAGACAGGAAAATATGGGGAATGACTGAACTGTTACTGTTCATGCCATACAATCTTCAGAAAGATAGAATCCTTCCATCTTCTGGGGCCATCTTTAAACATCTTTAAGTTAAAATATTTGTTAAACAAAATGAACTAGTTTAAAAGTGGTAAGATTTAAATGTGAATTAAGGATATCTTACTATTGATGTATATCAAGTTGAGCTATACAAGGTATCAAGAAGAGAGACGGGCTGTAACAAACTCTTCTTCCTCCCCCCTCCCCCCACCTTCAGTCTCCATTATAGGGAAGAAAGGAAAGGGCCCTTTAAGAGAGATAAGATAGGCTGGGAGGTCCCTCCTCTTAGAGAGAGATAAAGGGAAGGGTCTTAGCAATGAGGAGCAGAAGTGCCTTGACAGAGGAAGAAGATAGTCTGCCAAAAAAGGACTAGCTCAGAGTCCTGACTAAGTTTGGGAAAAACTCATTGGCTGTGTCCACATGAGCGTGCACGTATGTATGTGTGTGTGTGTTGCGGTGTCTCAATGGAGGTTGCGGCACCACAGAAGGCACCCCGCACATGAGAAAATGTTCCCTGTGCTGCATATTTGCAGCGAGGACTCTAAATCTGAAAGGGGGAATTCTGGTATCAAAAACCAAAAAATGCACCGGAAAAAAGCAGCGCGACGCACACTTTTGGAGCATGCTGAGAAGCAAATGGAGGCTGGGTCCTCCAAGGAGATGCTCTGGCAGCTGGCACAGAACCAGCCTGGTCTGGTGTAAAGGCATACGCCAGCAGACCAGGCTAGGCCAGCTCCATGCTGCCACGTGCAGCTTCTGGGACTCAGCCAGGGCCACGCACCACTGGGGAACTCTGCCAGCCGCAGGCTATGAGCACTCCCAGGGCCCGCTGCCGCAAGCCATGCCCTGCTTTTATTTTTTCTGGCAAGCTGAGGCAGCATGCCGGAGCAGCAGGGGAACACAGCAGCTGTAGAGATGCTCTGGCTGTCTGCCAGAGCATCTCCTTGAAGGACCCAGCCTCCATTTGTTTCCGTGCATGCTCTGAGAGTGTGCCCTGCACCACATTTTTCAGTGCATTTTTTCTGGATACCAGAATTCCCCGCTATCAAATTTAGAATCCACGCTACAAATATGCAGTGTATCGAATTTTGTGTATGTGATGGGCCGGGGGTGGCAGCAGGAGTGAGAGAGAGATACAGGGAGGGAAGAAGGGAGGTGGTACTCTAGGTAGAAGTGGCTGCCAGAGCTGGGCTTGGAGCTCCCCTGTCTCCCTAGAGCAGCCTACACAGAGGGAGAGTGGCCTGGAAGGGAAGGGGCTTGCCCAGGCCAGTCCTTGAGCCCCAGTCAAGAGCTTCCCAGGAAGGGCATGGGGATCACTGGGGTCTGGGCACAGGCACAGGAAGAAGAATAGCAAGGGCTGGCACTGCTCAGAGCTACAAAGCATTGGGTGGAACAGCTGCAGCTGAACTCATGTCCTGGTGCAGGGAGTGACCTGCTGCAAGGAGGGAGCAAATGGGGATTGGGAGTGAAGAGCACTGGCAGGGCTGTGGGTCAAGAGTGAGGGGCAAGGAAATGGGCAGGGGTAGGGCACTGGCAAATCAATGCTGCTCAGCACCACAAAGCAGCTGTGGGGACAAATGCAGCTAAACCAGCATTGTGGTGAGCAAAGAGGGCAAGAGGAGCACTGATTTCCTATCATAAAAAAACCAAAAGCAAAAGCCAAAATATATAGGTATTTAGAATTTATTTTATTATAACGACCGAGGCAGTAGTAGGCCTTCAAACTGTGTTAAACTTGTAAATATATCAATAAAACATTGTGCTCAACTGATACCTGTATATATAGTGGCATTTTATTTTAATCATGGAAAAACACGGACTTTGGGTTTTTTAATAAGAGAATTTAGGGATTCTTTTTAAATTGGAGAATTTGCAATTTTTTTTAACAGAAAAAACTAGGATCCCTGCTGGTAAGGTAAGTGGGAGGACCCAGGCAGAGAAGCCTGCCCAGGGCCAGCACTGGGGACCCAGATGGAGGGCAAACAACATGGCTGACTTCCTTGCCCTTTGGAGCCAGGAGGCCATGCCCTGACGGTTCAAAGTGGGCCACCACAATGAGAACATCTTCCAGGTGATAGCTGCCCAAATGGCAGAGTGGGGGCACCAAAAGACATGGCAGCAATGCCATACAAAGGCCAACTGTGCAGCCACAGCCCGCTGGCAGCTGGCCCAGAGGTGCAGGTGACTCTGCTGTAGTGTCCGTACCACAGCCCAGGTGGCCGTGTGATCCTCACCCGGGTCTGGCAGGCACACAGCCATGTTGCAGGTGGCATCAGACCCCGCTGCCAGACTGCTGCAGTGCGTAGAGGGAGCAGGGGTCACTCTAGGTTAGGGCTGCTGCAGTAGTCCAGCTGGCAGAGGGAACTAGTGTCCCCAGATGCCAACTGGCTGGGCCTCAGAAACTCCTGAGGGCATGTTGCCCTGAGCTGCTCACCAGGTCAGCTTTTTATACTGCTGTGGCCAGCACCTCCCCCTGGCCGAAGATCTGGAAGGAGCTGGGCAAGGTCAGTTTGCCCCAAGTGGCACAATTTGCCCCACACCAAAGTACACATTTAGGCACACGTGCTAAGGCACAAATCTTAAAACCTAAACTTATTGCACTGTGTTTTCCCTTCAGCTAATCATAAAAAAAAAACTACTTACCTCCAAGCTAACCAATGCATTGCGAGAGAGGTCTAGGGATTTTAGGCGAGTAAAATTTTTCAGAGCATTTCCTAGATGGGCAATCTTTTCATGATAAGTTCCAGGGAGAGACAATGACCGGACATCAGCTAAAGTAAAAAAAGAAAAATGCTGAAACATGAATATATTTATCACTCTAAAAAAGAGAGAGGAAGATATGATTCCTTCTACTCATTTTAATATGAAATCCACCTGATATTACAGGGATATGCAATGCAAAATGTATCTGCTTAGTCTTTCTGTGCTATTAATTGTAAGGGGTGGGTGTGGGGGGGGAAGGGGTGTGTGCGTGCACTGACAGAGAGAAAGCTTTGTTACTAACAGGCAGAGATGGATTTTTGTGGCTCTTTTAGGAATAGATTTTTTGCTTAAAGCATTTGGTGTTATACTGCTTGTAGCAACTATAAAAGGGAATAAGAGAAGCATCCCACGCACATGTACTATTACCCACTCAGCACAAATCATGGGGAAAGCCCCACAGAAAACAACAATTTGTATTTTTCTATTCTCAAACTCTGTGCAATTTATGGAGGGCCAAAGATAGAATACAAATTGTTTCCTGCACTTCAGTACCTCTATAATGATTTATTTACAGTGTACATTTTTTTTTCAACTAAGCAGACCTGTGACAGGTTATTAAGCCACTCAGAGCCCATATCCAGAAAGAGACCCAGGCCTGGTGATGGAAATTGACAAACCAGCACCCTCCTTCCCTATACAATAAACAGTGAGTCTGGCACTTAGGAATGTATGACATGCCAAGAGAGGGCAGGAGAACAGCTATTAGGAAATGGTGGAAGCAGGTGTGTCTGAAACCTGGCCCTCTCCCAAGATTAGGGGCCCCTGTGGGATTGGAATTCACAGCCAGATGCTGCTTCCTGTACTTGGGTGTCTAAGCCACCCCTTTTGGACATGGGCAACTTGCTTATTCTTCTTTTGAGACATGGTTGGAGGAAGAAGTGGTGCTGCCCACGTTTTATAATTAAAAGGATGACTAGTACTCCCCCAGGAAGTAGAACACCTGGGTTCAATTCCCTCCTCAGCCTGAGTGGGCTCAAACCCACACTAAGTGAGAGTAGTGTGTATGTAGTGAGGGACTCCTCCACCTCT